GTGTTCTTCACGGTGCTTTTAACACATGGAGGCTTTTCTTCACGGTGCTTTTAANGAAAGAGAAGTTCGACTTCATTATAGTGAGCATGAAGAGAGGATGATGTTTTGTACCGGTGCTTTTAACACAGGGAGGGTGTTCTTCACGAGAATGTGAAGGGAGGGTGTTCTTCACGGTGCTTTTAACACAGGGAGGGTGTTCTTCACGGTGCTTTTAACACATGGAGGGTGTTCTTCATGGTGCTTTTAAAACATGGAGGGTGTTCTTCACGGTGCTTTTAACACAGGGAGGCTTTTCTTCACGGTGCTTTTAACACATGGAGGGTTTACTTCACGGTGCTTTTAACACAGGGAGGGTGTTCTTCACGGTGCTTTTAACACATGGAGGGTGTTCTTCACGAGAATGTGAAGGGAGGGTGTTATTGGGTGTTCTTCACGGTGCTTTTAACACAGGGAGGGTGTTCTTCACGGTGCTTTTAACACAGGGAGGGTGTTCTTCACGAGAATGTGAAGGGAGGGTGTTATTCACGGTGCATTTAACACAGAGAGGGTGTTCTTCATGGTGCTTTTAACACAGGGAGGGTGTTCTTCACGGTGCTTTTAACACAGGGAGGGTGTTCTTCACGGCCCTTCTTCGCAGAAGATACTTCACACCGTTTAATTTAAAGAGCAAGATAGAAATCGGCGTTATATGAGGGAAGAGAGGTTTAACTTACAGGTTATTAGGGGGGAGACATTTCTGTATCGTAGCGCATCTTCATTTCTATTCGAGTCTTATAACAATTTGTTCTTTTAGTACGATCACGTTTCGAGTCAATATCCGTTGACAATGTTTACCAGCATCTCAAATTCTCACTAAATCGAGTGGAACCAGAAAAATTTGTTGGAAAATCCACGTGCCAACCCATTCTCACGCCAGACACGCGTTTTTTTCTCCTTTCGTATTAATAAGGAAAGGGTTGGAAGGGGTTAGAAGAGGGGTAAAATCGAGAAGCCGAGGAGGATAATCGAATTACCATTTTACACTATTCTTTTCCGGTTCCTGTTTTTTTTTTTTGGGTGGAGGAAACGTACGAAATCGAAACGATTTCTAAAAATGCACCCGCAAGAATTCGATCTTATCTTGTAAATAATTCATATATGTCGAAGGAGAGAGAGGACCACTAACAATACTCTTACGTAATCGAGTGGTAGCCGACGTATTAAGCTATTTATAACCTTTGCCCAAAAAAAAGAATCTAATCTACTAAAAGCTTTGCCGGCAATTTTAAAACACGCCGATCAAAATTATCATTTGTTTTTTCCTCCGCCATTTTTTTTTCTCTTTCTTTCTCCTTTTCTCCCTCTCTCCATTTTTACAGAAGTTAATAAGTTGAGGAATTCGTTTTCGAATGTTTTCACCCATTTGAAATCATCTGAAAGCGCGTGCGGTTGTGATTGGTAATGCGGGATGGCGTAGGAATTTCGTCATAATAAGTCGATTACGTAGATTCCGGTTTGTGAAAAGTCGATTTTATAGCGCTTGGCGTATTGTTCGATGTCATTATCCGTATTTATAAACCTTTCACGTCGTCTCCTTCCCTGGTTTTTTGACAAATACGGTTCTTATACAATGGTAAGTGGCTTTTTTTTTCCGATACGCGGGACACGCTATTAACGACTTCTTCGAAATTCTGTTCATCTCTCCCCCCCATCATTTGCAATTAGTCGTAACGATCTTAATTGTCTTTTCTTCTCTTCGATTCTGTAGAAGGTCTTTTGATTGTTCGAAAATACTTCCCGTTTCTAGGAAGATTTGACTTGGAAGGGGTAGAGAGGGGCTAAAATATTCTTTTTTAAGCTTTATACAAGGGAAATGCATCCACACTCTTCTCGTCTGTGTGTGTGTGTGTGTGTGTGTGTGCCAAATAGTAATAAAACCACAAAACACCGGTCGTGTGTTCGTGCCTAGCAAAGGAGCAAATCAGATGGGATTTACCAGGTTTTCTTCGCTTGTTAAATACCTAAATAGGTGCCATTTTCCTGTAGAAAGTCCTCCCCTCGGTAGATCTCCCTTGTGTTGCGTGAAACAAACATTTGTGATTCTTCCACCCCGGTTAATCTTCTATAAGCGAAACCGTTTCTGATAGCGAATAGAGAATTTGGCCAAGTTTTATTTGATAATTTCGTTTTCCTTATACGAAATTTCGTACCACTTTGAAATAAGCGATTTGAATGCGCGTTTTGAGGAAAATAATAATATTTTCTGAAAGAAACGGCAAAGAAACATTCATTTAATCCTCTTACATCCGGACCTTGACATCATTATCCTATTTCTCAGGGATTAACTCCATTAAGAGAAGGACGGTAACTCACTTCTCGGATCGTCAGTTGCATCTCGATTCTTTTAGCGCTTTCACACGAGTCGTCTTCGTCTCCTTGCAACAAATCGCGTTGAGGAGTCAACCAACGGTTTGTCTCCCTTCAACCGTTAAGGAATTTTTAGTATGGTGGTAACCGAGTTTAATAACGCGAGTAACGGGAGGTATTCGTTCGGATATTTCTTATATTATAGAAAATTCGGTCACACCAGCGACTGGAGGTCACAGGGAGCTTCTGTACTTATATAAATTCCGCTTCCGATCGAGTAAAACGGCGATTTTTCTACATTTAGGAGCGATTAATCTCCACCCTTTACTGTAGAAGCGTGAGAAAAGGCCATTAAGTAGCTACACCGATACAGGTTCGAACTGTCAAAGAAAACGGGAAGCCATCTTCTGTAAACAATTTTTCATGCCGATGAATTCTCAACCAAACATTAATTAAATGGATATTTGTTCGTCTTCGTTCTTCAAACAATTTAATTTAACTTTCCTCATTTGTTGGTGTAAAGAATTACTTTGTTAAATTTGCTTGTGAGGTGAGGACACTTCTTCTTCCCTAGTTCTCAGAAAATAATCGATGTTTGTGTGATGAAGAGGAACTTCATTTTTATACACTGTAGTAAGTAGGTAATACGTCACCGTCCGACGGATACTTACGACACTTCGGGTATTCGTGTAAACACTAGATAACACGTGGGACTTCTGATCGGTTCTCCGGACACTTAAATATTCTCGTGAGATGCGTAGTAACTTAATTTTTGACGAATAAACTGATGTTTATATCCTAAGAGTCCGGTTAAGGGGTAGAGTTTACAAAATTGAGCAGAGAGAGAAGAAGGAAAAGAAAGAAAGGAAAGGAGAGTGAGTACAGAGGAGAGGGGAGAAGAAGAACAAGAAGAGAAGAAAGATGAGTAGAGAAGAGAGAGAAGTCAAAGGAGAGGAAGAAGAGAAGAGAGGGGAGAAGAAGAACAATAAGAGAGAAAAGATAAAGGAGAGAAGTGACAGGATAGAGAAAGGAGAGACACGAAAGAAGATAAAGAGTAAGGAGAAGAAGAGAAAGAAGAAAGAGAGAGAGAGAGAGAGAGAGAGAGAAGAATGTAGATGAGAGAGAGAGGCCGCGAAATAACAAGTATAAGAAGCAAAGTTACCATAAAAGAAAAAAAAACTAGAGCCTTGGACGAAAGGACGAAGGCAAAAGTTTCGAAAAGAGCCATATTTGGGGAGAGAGTAGGTTGGTAAACGAGATTGGACTGAGCAATCGGAGCGTTACGTGTTGTCCTGTCAACGAAAGCGACGGGTTAATCGAATACCGAAATTCTGTTATTAATTTAATAAAGCCATTTCTTACAAACGTAACACAGTTACTATCTGATGGATCACTCGATCGATGAAGATTACGAACGATTGTCACGTGTTCGGACGTCACTTATCTTCCTTCTTTCTTCCGATTCGAGTATAGAAACTACCAAAATTTCGCGCAGGAAACATAACAAATTCTTCCTACCTCTTTAGTTCTACGCGAGTTCTTGATATCCCAAAAGAAAGACACGCGGGTAATTGTTACGCCCGTAACGGCTTCGTAAACTACGAATTGGTTTAAGATTGAGACGTAACAAGTTTCTATCAACAGACGAATTGGTAGTGAGCACCCCCCCTACACACACATAAATGCTTTTTAAGAAAGTTTATCGATAAAGAAGTCGAGTTTATCTTCCGAAAATAAATCGATATTCGATTTGGTATTTCCTGAACGTAACGTTAAAGCTCGGTAGACGAAAAGTAAATGGTCCTGAGTTAAGAAAACGAGATTTTCGGCTTCACCCCATAAATCTTCCTAAGGTTTTTTCCCCTAGACTTTAAGCACCACCGACTTTACTTAAGATGTTACGCCTCCATCGAAAATTACGCTTTGTTACGGCACGATTTTTCTAGAAGTCGGTCGGGTCGTAACATAACTTAGTTACGGCTTCCTCCCGGAAAACACTGAAAGTCATCTGTGGTCGAAGGGTCTTCGAGTGACGTAAAAGAAACGTAACACGAAATTCTGGTGTTACGCAAACCCGATCGTTAACGAGAGTGACGTTTTATCTACAGGTCGGAGTGAGGCATTATCTATCGTCCAATTAGCAGATAAGGGGTTTAAATACCACCAAAATACTTAATTAGCAGCGACGTCGGGTCACTGTCAAAGATCATAACTGGCGTAACAGAAGAAAATACTCTACAAACGTTCGGAAAAAGAGAGATACTCGAACTTTCGATAATCCGACGTTGACGTAGTTAATTAGTGACGTAGTTTGCGTAACGTCCAAAGGAATTTCGGTAGTTTCTCTCCAACAGAGGGGAATCAATCGCCAATTTGGATCCTACCTTCTTCTTCTCCCCCTTTATTTCCACCCCCGAAAGTTCCGTGACGAAACTTTATTCCGTTTCTAGAAACGAGGCGGGTTTACGATATTAAAACGAAAAGAACGGAGGTCCATTTTGCGTGACGTCATCGACTAACACGGTTCCAATAATTCGACGTGGATTCGGACCGTTCGGGGCGGCGCGCGCGGACGGCGCGAGTGCCGACGCTCCGGGGACGGGACCCGGCGCGGAGCGTAACAACGTATTGATCGCCATTTTGGTCTCTTGCAGATCCGCGAAGACTGGAAGTACGTGGCCATGGTGATCGATCGTCTTCAACTCTACATATTTTTCGCAGTGACGACCGCCGGAACAATAGGGATCTTGCTGGATGCGCCTCACATATTTCAGTACGTGGATCAAGACAAGGTGATCGCCTTTCACAAGAACAAGTCACAGTGAGATGCCGCCAACCCACGGAGGTTGCATCCGGCCGCCAGGGGGAACTGCGGATCACCACCACTACCACCCCCCCCGCGGACGGCGGGCCAACGGCCACTTACGTAAGTATATAGAGCGGCCGGCCGGAAAGACAGTTCTTCCATCCATCATCGTCACTCTCCTTCCTACCCCCATCGACACGGGGCGAAACGGGGCGACCACTTCGAGGAATATACACAATGCTCAATCTTCTTCGTACGCGCGTGCGTCCTTCGTTCGAGCTCCACCCGTCTGCGGAAGTAGCCCGGACCGACCGGTGACGTCGGCTTCCGGCCCGCGCCGAAGACCCGCTCCGACCCACGCATACAACGACCTTTCTTTTTTTTTTTCTTTTTTCTACTACGGGCGGCGGCGCGCCGGCCCGCCTCGCGTCGCGTCGCGCCGCGCTCCGCTCGTCCGATCGCTTCCGCTCCGGACGTCGTCGGCGCCGCGCGCGCCGCCTCCACCATCTCCGGTAGAAGAGAGGAAGAAGAAGAGGAAGAAAAAGAAAAGAAAAAAAAAAATACAACACCGATCGAATCTGGTTTAAAGCGGAAGGGCCCGGAAGGAAATTAAAAAAAATTTATAATAATAATCAACGAGCGGACCGGAGCGTCGGCCCGAGGACGCGACGCGCCCCCTGTTCCTAAACGCGCGACGTCGCGACGTCGACGTACCGGGTTCGAGCGCGGAGGGCGACGCCCCGTCCCGAAGGAAGCGGAACTTTTGCGCCGGACGACGAGAGGAGGAGGAGGAGGAGCAAGAGGAGAAAAGCGCTCCGCGCCCGGAGGGGTCGACGGGTCGACGGCACCGACACTAACAAACGGGTCGTTTTTGTCATTTGTAAACATTCGAATATTGGTCTCGACATAGAAAAAAAAAGAAAAAAAAACAAAAAAAAAACAAAAAAAAAATACAAACAACCGAGGATTGTTTAGTCGTACTTGGCGCCGCCCCACCCGGCGGCCGTTTTAAACCATCATAATGTAACGGTATTTAATAGTGTTTTAATAGAAATATAACAAGTTGTAGTTGTACCGAGTCTCTTTTCTTGCCTCCACCCTCGTACCACCCTCCGGGGGGGATTACAGTCGTCTTCACCCTCCCACCATTCGGTTCGAAATGCTGGAAAACCCACCCGGTCAATGGCTCGCTCTCGCACGTTCTACAACGCGACACTCGTTAAGGAGGAACAGGAAACGGGCCGCGAGCACGTTCCTTCCTTCGTTAGTCGCGGGATTTTTCTTCCACACCGGAGTGGAAATGCCCCGGGCGAGCCTCCCTCGTCCCACCCACCCGAACGGGTACGAACCCCTCTCCTCGGTGCTTTTATACTCGATATAATATAGATTTAATGTTCGAGTACCACACGATTTTTAATCCCCCGTGGCGCCGAAAGATCGCCTAGCGGATTATTCGGAAGCGGCAACAACGAAGATTTTTTTTTTTCAAAGCTCTAAAGGGTTTTCGTTTCTTCGCCGGCGGCGTGGTACCTAATTTTCTCCTTTATTAATCGTAGAATATAAAGTGAAAAAGTTCAGGTTTTACGGAGAAGACTATAAAGAAAAGAAGGGCGATAACCAATGAAAAGACGGGAAAGAAAATATGTAAAAATTAAGTGTTTAAACGTAAGAAGTTTTAATTAAAATAAAAGTTAAAATTTGAGGAGGAAGATCGATGAGGAATTAAAAGGAGGATCTCTGTCTTTTTTTCTAAGTCACGTGCTCTTGGTTTCCGGTTTTCGCGCCCGTTTCGGTAGCGTAGTTCGTCCTCCTAAAGTAGGACGACGATCGTAGGACGTGTTTATATGCGAAAAGGCGTTCGAGAAACAAATTTCGTTGGGTTTTCCTCTGGCGAATAAAGGAGTCGACGGGGGAGGGGATCTCCCCCCTTTCTTAAGGTCAAAAGGGCGCGATCTCTTCCAAAATTATCGTCTATACTTCTCTCGTTAACGCGTTGGAAAATTCGGTAGTCTTTGAATTAATACACGGCATTAATACACTATAAAAAGGCGCGAATAAACAGAATAATGCCTTTTATACGGAGGTTAAACATTTACACAGTTTCGTTTGACGTCATAAAAACTAACCCCTTTACGTAAGAATATCAATTAATCTTTCTGTGTTTCCTTACGGAAAAAAATTCGTAATGACGAGGTTTATTGCTGTATTACTTTACGACGAAATAATATAAATTCTCTCATCTGATTGGTCGCCCAAAAATAAAAAGTTCCGACTGTTAAGTTAGGTTCACGCCCCTTCGTACGAACGAACACGAATCAAACCGCATCTCACTTCACCATACAAACTGTATTTGAACGTGATTGGTCGAAATGATTTCGAATACAATTTACGAAGACGTGATTGGATCGAACGAGCCCGTTTAGTTGTTGTTCTCATGCCAGTGTGAACCCGGCTTAAAAACGGAACCTGTCGCTGTTCTGGTGCGTACGGAATTTCTAAAAGTGGCAATAAATTCTCCATTAATTCGATTCGACGGAAAATTTTTCCACGTCCGTTCGTAGTTCGGACCGTTCTTTGTGGCGATTACGTGAGTTATTTTGTCAAGTGGGAGGGAAAACCGGAGGCGAAAAACAATTGATTTCATTACAGATTCGATCCAATCGCCCGATTTCTCGTATAAGATTGACGTGGGAGAAGAATATCGAGTTGAAGAATGGTCTTTAGCCTATAATTCCAATATAGGAGAGTCTTTATGGGCCATCAAATATTCCGGACTGGTTTCTGCTTGACTCTACGTGTAAACGACATCGAGTTACTGAATCTCAATTGGTAGCCATTTTATTTTATTTTTATATATATTTTTTTATATATTTATAGAGCATTTGGCTACGTCTCACACGCCCCGTGAACCTCAATAACCTCAGAATTTTCGATATAATTAAAATGTAATTACACAAATTACAGTGAAATGCTTTCGGCTCGCGCTTGATCTTTCGACCTTTCACCCCATCGATTTACTGCTTAAGCGAATTAATTAATTTTCTCACATTTAACGAATTCTTTATGCGGGTTTCTTCGATATTCGGGTCACTAACGAATAATGAGAAGAATTCGTCAATGGAGGATCCACAAGTCTTTAGAGGGGAGGATGTAGACGTATCTTACACAATGTTTTAGTACGTAAAGTACCGGTCTTTAATGTGAAAAAATAATCTTTAGTGGGAGGTTGCGAGTGCACCCTGCTCACCTCCTAAATTCGCCATTTGATTTCATGTGAAGAATTTTGGTGCACGAACGTATTGCTGCCAAAATTCTTCGATTGGGCGAGAGAAAGAATGGACTTAAAAAGTTTTTCGGTAATTAATACGTGAAGAAATATGAAAATCTCGAGAGCACCATCATTTCTAAAATGATGTGCAGCGTGTTCGCGCGTGTCTAACACATAAACACGAGGAAATGGTTCTGTTTTGTTGCTATAACTAAAAGAATACCCGGTTATTGAGGTGCCAATCCACGCCCAACAATGGTTCGAATCATTGTCGGGCCTCATCTGTTATATATATTAAATAAATCCATAAAATATTTGGATTTATTTGCTGATCCTTCGCGAATTCGTTGTAAAAAAAAACAACAGTTACTTCAGAGAACAAATAAGACACTCGAAAAGAATGCCGAATAAACAAAGAATTTTCTTAATTAAGTAATTAAGTTTGATCAATTAGTGTTATTTACAATTAGAAATAAATTACCATCGTGGATTAGGTACTACAGCACTTTGCATTTAAAGAGCTCGGTAAAGAAACACTGTTAGACAATTCAGTGGTGTGCCCACATCTGGGACACGACAAACACATAAAAAAAATATGGTTAAAACGAAGGCTTTACGCATCTAAAGACCGATTTTCCATAGAAAATCTTTCTGAGAGGCACCCCACTTGACAGATCGCCCACGTGTTGCGTTGCAGCATCCCACCAGAAAACAAGTACTTCAACACTTGCATGTCGGTTCACACGATATGAAAATAATAACTTGTTTAATAAATGGGTTGATTAACACAGAAGATTCTGAAGGATCAATGAAGGATCAATATATTAAAATTAATCTTCCACATCAAATGTAACAAGGAAGCGGTATCAATGACCTATTTCCTTTAAACTGGAAGTAATTCTTCAGTCAGGATTGATGGAATAAGGAGATCTGCCAAGGAAGGACGACTTTCTTTGGTGAATTGTCCACTATTTAGGTGGAGAAAACCCGGATAACTTCGCGTGCTAGATCCTTGGTCAGGCGCGAAACCTTGACTAGTATTTAGTGGTGTTTATGGGCTCTGTTTATGAAAGAAATGAAGAAGAAAAAAAAACATTGTTAATTAAATAAATGTAATTATATTCAGTCTTCGGAGTATAAAAATTTGGCAATCTTTACATTTAAATAGAAAGATTTAATACTGTATTTTAATTCAAACGAACGGCCTGAGGATTGGTTAAATTGTATTTATTTAATTACGAATAATTTTCATTTCCTTCGCAACGGAGGTAAGTTTCATCTTATCAAATTGGTGTTTCCTTATTTTTATCCAGCGCTAAGTCAATCAAATCGTAACGACGTTACGCCGAAAGGAAATTGCAGTATTAACCGTTACTTTGATGACGACACTTCACAATTTTATGAAATGTTTTTACGAAAACCTTGTGTTAATTACTCCATCTTTCGTTCATCCAGAAAGTTCCCTATTTGGGAAGATACGGTACTTTCCTTTTCGGTATACTAAATATAGAAGAATTAAATTTTTAATAACACTACAACAGTGTGGTGTGTGGATGATTACATAGAACTTAATCCACAATAGAATTCCTCACTGAATACTAGCACAGTGGACAGTGGGAAAACAGGAGGATTTAAGCAGGCTTAAATCTGCAACAACTCCGTAATAGAGGTTGTTCGATTAAGCTTACAAACAGCGTCTTTTACAAAATGGATAGGAATTACTTCTCCTCGGAGTGCCACCGTAAGCAAAGATCGACACACACGAACCCACTCTTCTGAAAAACCAATTGTTGAGTTCTACATTTCCTAGTTCAATCCTAGTGAAGCCCACGAAACTTTCTTCCATCATGACTGCTGCAATAACACGAGAGTACTGTACATCAAATCTGTATATTGCCATCATTAATAATGAAGATTCACACACGTAAAGTTCTCCAATGGACTTTTTTCGCTTTAGAAGCACTGTTTCTGTGTAAAACCTGGACAATGAAAGGTCTGCAGAAAGTAGCTGGTGCGAGATATCGCCAGATACATGCCATTCATTAGGTGTGGAGTTGACAACTTTGCAATGTCAGCAGAAACGGTGGTGAGCATATTGAATAAGTAAAATACAATCTGTCACATTTGTAATCACCGAGTCTAATAAAGACGTACTGTACACCCTCTATAATATATACTAGTGTTAAGAAAACTAGTAGTTTTGTACTGTTCAATGTCCTTCGTCTCGAATGACACCGTGGCATAATGGCACGAGGCAACAAAACGGGAATTTTAAAGTCCATAGTAAGAACTCGGGGATTACTCGTGACTGTCTCACAACGTGTAATGATGTGAAAGGCGGAGTGACATCATTATTATATATTGTTTCAGGATATACTATACTTTGCTGTGGTATGAGAATTTTACTGTACCAACGAACAATGGTAATAGTAGGTTCGCGCTTCGTGGAGTTTCCTTCACGAGTCTAAACACCTAAATAGGAGCGAGTTTTCCATAAAAGTCTTTCCGGGAGGGATTTCCTTTTAACCTCCCAAACACGTATGGACCAAACTAACCAATATAATAAATGTAATTGAACTTCTAAAACTCCACCCTTGAGATCATTGCAGTAATATGTCGTTGGATTTTGCATGGTTGTTTGTGACAAATCTCTATTGCTTTTGTTCTTCGTAGACTGAATCATAATGGCAAATAAACTTTTCTGTTTGAAGGCTCTCCTGTCAACTTTCAGCAGATGGAAATCAGCTTTAATGAGCCAAATTACAGGAAGATCCTCGAAAAGATCTTCCTCTTCGATCGATCTTGTCACAAATATCTGCAAAATTGTTTACTATTTCCTTGTACGGCAATAAATTAGGCAGAATGATTGCCATTCTTTGAATTATTTTGCGTGTTCCTGAAGGATTTGCTGTTGCTATTCAACTCAAAATCCTTCAGGAATAGGAAAGAAACTTACGAGTATGCATTTTAATGATGTTTTAGGTGTGCCCATTGCGAAACCCGATAAAAACTGTATAAATATGTGTGCAAATTCATTGCAGTGATGTATATGGTAGATGGGCCAATCCCATCTTCCTTCAAAACTCGATAAATCATCTACAAAACCCATGATCTCTACGTTCTTGTGTGTAATACACTGAACGTATAGTATACACAACCACAATTTCTGCTTTTTCCGTGTCATATAGGTGCCAAATGCATACTATGACCAAAGTCACTCTTGTAGTAGCTCAGGGTTACTTCACTTCACAACAGCTTCAATTGATGCCAGCCAATGCTTACAAATTTCAACCAATCACTGCTATTATTCCTTTGGTTTCGTCCTATAAGAGGTCTTTTTCTATCTCCTATCTCCCCAGGCAGATAGCCTACGTGTTGTGTTTCCTTATCTAATTAAACCTAAATCTGATTGGTGGATTATTCGTGAGCATTAGGGGTGGTAATTTCGTTCTCTTTGTTTGTCCACGTGGATTACGTATGCCATAGAAATGAGGAATAAGATTTTACCATTTGTTTTTATTCACAATAGCTTGGAATTGTTTTCGAAATGTACCGATTTTTTGGGAAAATCACGCACGCAAACCACTTTCGTTTTCAATGTTTAAAAACATTTTATGCTAAACAATGTATGGAAATTTTACGAAATAGAAAGGAAATAATGTCGCTGTTTTCTGGTAATAGTGGACCTCATTAGAAATAATATAAAATTCGTTCTTTCCATGGTTTTAGCCTGCTATAAGATAAAAAAGGAACTTCTGAGGATACGGCCAACACCCTGGATGCTACGAACAAAGGAAAAAGTCAGAGAAAAGTTAAACTATTCCTAGGATCAAGGGAAACTTCAAAGGGAAAAACTCAGAATTCGTTGTATCACTTCATGTTCCTGTGTTTCCGACAGCAGTAGCCTTTGTTTCTAAATGGTTCCCTAAATTCTACGATTATATGGATTTTGTTCACGTGTCTAACACCTAAATAGGGTCGGTTTCTCATAAAAAATCCCCGAAAGGCATCATTTCATTGGCATCTGAGTTTTCTATGTTATGACTGAAGGTACTCACTAGCTGCTATAAGTGTTACGAAGTGAATACAATGATTTCGAATCCACCATTTTCTAGAACTAGAACTCCTTGTTGTTATTCCTGAACATATTACTACAAAATAATTCTATCACCAATACCATAAAATCTGGCATGATCCCCTGGAAAGCGGAGTTAACACCACTGTAGGGAATTTCTGTATAAAATCCCTCAATTCGAAGAAAATTTGGGGATGATTGACTCCTGTATGGCAACCTGGGTGTACATTAGTGCAAGAATTTACTTCCCTTCTCTTTTTATTGTTTGAAATTCCATTCCAACTGCGTAACTTGAAGTGTCAGGTGGCAAAGCTTCGTTCTAAGAGGATGAAAATTCTCACCCCCCCTTATACGGTACGAAGAATGTATATTTTGTAATGTATATCTCGCCCTTAAATCAACAAAATGAAAAATTTAAGGAAGAGAATAGAGAAGAGAGGAGATCAGAAGACAAATAAGGAGATAGAAATAAATATATCGAAGAGAAATCCACCCAGAAATAGAATCGGAAAATAAGCAATATAGTCTCATACTTCTCCCTCTCTTCGGATAAAAGGAAACGAAAAGACAACATCTCGACAGAAGAGAGCAATCGAAAGGAGAGAGAAGAAAGAAAAAAAAAAAGAGGACAACCCCCCTCTCCAGGCGGTTTGAAAACTTGCGTAATTGAAAATATCGTAACAATTCCAAAAATAGAAATTACTTCAAGGAATTTAGACAATATTTTTAACAATTAAAAAGGCCTGTCCCAAGGAGTTTTGCTTCAGATTATCGAAACAATTTTTAAACGAATAGAGATTTTTTTAATATAACTCCTAGTAAGGATAAAAGAGGTTTTCATAAATGGTCTTCCAGATCTTCCTTATCCTATTTCCCATACAAATCCTAGTAAGGATGGAGAAGATCTCTACAAGAGATCTTCTCCATCCTTAAAGAAGATCTCCACAAGAGACTTCTCCATCCTTAAGGAAGATCTCCACAAGAGACTTCTCCATCCTTAAGGAAGATCTCCACAAGAGACTTCTCCATCCTTAAGGAAGATCTCCACAAGAGATGTTCCTTACCTAACTTCTAGTTACAAATCTGGAATTACAGTTTAAAGTGTATAAAGAACAATAAGATTTGAGGGGTGAAGAGAACACTTCGAAGTGTTCTCTTCACCCTACCCTAGATAAATTAATCGATATTTGTGCAGTTTTGTGGCAAATTCAATGTTAGCTATCAATAAAAGCGACATAAATCCGGTTTATCGCCTATAGACTCTCTTTATTCGGGTGTAAATTACGATCAATCTACCAATAGTTAAAGTTCTGCCACCGGAAGACGAAGAGTTTCGTGTTAATTGCTTTAATTGTTTCCAAACAATTTAATTTGTTACAGAAAAATTCGGTAAAATTCGTCGGGGAGGTAGAAAATTAACTTCTAAATTCCGTTTTAAACGAGTCGCAAATCGGAAACTTCGCTCTTTCTGTACGTCTATGACGAGTTTAATTTGAGGGGGTGAGTAGATTCCGTTTAACAGGAGAAAGAGAGAGAAGGAGATAAAAGAAAATGCTAATAACTCCTTTATTATATGAAGAGAAAGTTCCATAAATCAATACATGTCATTTTAATGTGACAATACTTTTTTTCCTTGTCGAAATCGTTCCCTCTGATAAGACGGTTACGTGTTACGCGAAACGAAACAGCGACGTCACCTTCCTACCAATTACTCCGTCTCCAAATTTTATATTCCTCCTGTTTGCGGGGGTGGGAAAGAAGTGTTACTCCGACCCACCTTTGTTATCGCTAGAGATAAACGCGTGACGATAAGCGTAACGGCGTTACGCCAAGCGGAAAGCGACCTTTCTAGAGAGGTTGAAAATACGGGGTTTCGGTTACGGGGTAACGCTTTCGTCACCGTTTTACGACTCTGTTACGGAGTTACGAAAGACCGTTCTTAACTAAGTTTCCGGTCGTAACTCGACGGAGAGATCTCTTATTTTTCTCTTAATACCGTTGTTTGTAATAAAACGACTTTTATTACGGCACGACGTTACGTCACACGGGTTATTTATGTTATCTTATGAATCATATATGTCGCTTATATGCATCTCCCGCGAAAAAACCCGAGATTTGTTGTCGGATTTCTAACTTCTCCTCCCTCTTTCCCGATTGCATTTACAGAGAGGAGGAGGAGGAGGAGGAGGAGGAAGAGAGGAGGAATGTCTGTCCACCCCGTTGACGTCGACGGGGGAGGGGTGATAGCGGGAGGGGCGGAGAATTTCCCGGGAAAATCCGATACTCGGACGTCGAGCCGATCGATGGGTGGAAGGGATTTATCGAGATTAAAGCGACTAATTAGGGACGACCTCTCGGCTAATTAATCCGTTATCGGAAAACTTCGCATCCTCAGGGATTTGGCGCCACCGGACAAGATGAAGCTCCCGGAACCGGAAGAGACGAGATCACCCCCTTTCGGACAGACCTTTTTAACAAAAGATCGCCACGTCGTCTCGTCTGCCGGGATAAAATACGGCTTAAGAGGGGAGGGTAAAGCCACCCTCCCAGTAAGCGCTTAAAAATGTCGAAAGGGAAGTTAATTTCGTCAGTCGGACGCTCGCAAAGACAGTCGGGAAGAAGCGCATTTTGGCGGCGATCGGAAGGAGGAGGAAGAGGAGGAGGAGGAGGAGGAGGAGGGACGACGTTTTCTCCGATAGAGCGCGGGCTCTGCGCCTCGACGCGCACGGCTGCGGCGCCGTTATCGATCGCGAACCGGGAATGGTGTCCGCGGTAGGTGGACGGAGGGAGGGAGCCGTTCGGTCCCGTTCCGTCTTCCGAGACGACGTTCGGCTTGCTTAGAGTATGCCCGACGTCGCCATGCCTCCCCCGCGACCGCTAAACGGCGCGGGAATCTTCCTCGTCCTCGCGTTGCCACCGACGCTCTTCTTCCTGGGATGCGAGTCGCACATCGACGCTAAGCGCCTGCACGACGACCTCCTCAGCGACTACAACAGACTCATCCGACCGGTGGATAACCACTCCAGCAAAGTCACCATCGTCGTCGGCCTCAAGCTCACTCAGCTCATCGACATTGTAAGTAATCCCTTCCTTCTCTCTTTCTCCTTCTTCCTCATCTTTCGTCTCCGGATCGGACCGCGGCTTACATCCGCGCGGCGGATTCGCCTACGCGCGCGTCACGCGGGCAGTTTTCGAAAAGTAACGAAGAAGAAGAGGATGAGGCGCTACTATACGATTCACCCCTCTCTCTCTCTCCGGTTCGATCGACGTTGCTAGGTTACCGACATCCCGAGTTGGCGACGCGACGCGACGGAAAGAGCGCTTCGCCTCGTCGCTTCCCGTCGATTATCGCCGATTAACGCGACGCGACGCTATCGACTCCCTTTCACGCAAGCGTCGGCCGTCCGGGTGCCGTTTTAATTTGGATCGTCGTCACCCTCCGTCGAAGGCGTGGCGGAAAGACCAGGCGCGACGTTTCCGAAGTTTACTTATCGTTCGCGCGCGACGCGGAGGAAAACCGTCTCCCATCCACCGCGCTTGCGCTCTGTGGGCCGAGACTTAAGAATGATCCGGGAGTAGGGCGCCTTCCGTCGGTTCGAGCTCTCTCTCTCTCTTTCTCTCTCTCACCCCCCTCACTCCCTCTTCGCGCCTGCGCGGAAGATGAGAGGGATGTCGACCGGATAAAATCTCTCGGCTTTCCTAGGAATTTCGCGTAAACGACGAACGAAAATGCAATTCCGACGCGCAAAAGGGAGCGCCGCCGTTACGGTTTACGAACTTGTTTATTGCGGACACGTTTTAAAAGCGATTAAACTTCCCGTTTTAAATAATCCCGTTTTTAATTCTTCCTTTATCCGACAGAGGGCGGCAGGATCGCGCCGAATTCCAGTGTGGTCCCATCACCCACCCTTCCCTCTCATCATCCATTAAATAGGGATCGGGTTAGGAAATCCCCGTTTAAACAACGCAGAAGACGGGCGTAACAGCGTAAATTACGGGAGGAGAATCGCTCTTATAGGGAACGAAGTGACGGGAATTATTTAGGATGCTCGAGAGTCACGACAGGAAACTTTTATAGCGTGACCGAAGTTTAATTTAGTTTTTAAAGGTCCTCATTAAGCCGCAAAATCTCTTCTTTTATAATGCCGAAACAACGGTTTTTCGACTCTGTTACTCGCGTGTTCGAACGAGTTACGCGATCCCTTTTAATAGGAGAGCTTCTCACGTAGACGGGAGTAGATTCTTCCCCCCGTTTTTAGGGGAACGAAAATCTAGTAATTCCTCTTTTCGTGTCGGAAGATAACTCGGGATGCAATTTCTCTAACTTGGGAGGGATGCGGAAGAGAAACGGGGGATGAAAGGAAGAAGGATATTCGTGCCGGAATGATGGAAAAATTCCGAAAGGACGTCCAAGACAGATATACGATGTAATTGTGTTTTATCGTGTGTTTATCGATAGGAAAACACAAGAAAACAAACGAGACTTGTCTTCGTTCTATGGAGACGACGTGTTACGGGAGAAAACGTAACTTTCGTCTCCAATTGTACGTATGTAAGAAATGGAAAGCGTAACAAAGTTAGGGGAGCGCGTAACCATTATACTTCTTAGAGAATTTATGAATTGTTTTGTATAGTGTATTATTCGAAGATGGGAAGTGGGGGGGGAGGAATATCGAGTATCTGGAAATTTCGACCGATAAATTACGCGTAAGACGAGTAGGAAAGTTGACAGTGATATATATTTGAAAACGTTCGCCTCGTCAAATAACCCCTCCTGTAATAACTCTGGGTGTTGCTCTAATTTTAAAACAAGCTACTCGGCTGGCGTGTGACGTTCCGACTCGTCATTTATCTTCGTTCTTTAAATTAGTTTCTCTTCTCTTTGTTTACCCTTTCTTTGTGACGTCGGGTTACGTTTCCGAAAACGTCAACCGATCTGAATTGTCGTTACTCTTACCGAAAAGTGAGAACAGTTTTGTTACGTAATAAATCGCGTTACTTACGTATATACCGACGTAACAAATATTCGCGAGTATCCGGCGAAAGTTTCTACGTATATCTTACGTATCGGCTGTGACGTAATTTCGGTGGTTACGCAGGAAAAGTTACTCTATTCGTCTGTACGTAAAGGTGTGACGTTACGTTACGTCCGGTTAATTAATTAAAGAAGGAGTTATTTAAGGAGTTACGAGGCCTTCTTTAATTGTATAGACGTAACGTAAAGCCTGTTACACAAAGATTCCGTCATTGGCGCGAGCGGTTTAAGGATAAATTTAATTAATTTATTCGATTAAACGAATTATTTAAATTATCAAATATTTGTCTTCGACGTCACACAGACGTTAACGGAATTAATTGTGACGAAATCATTTTTATTTTATAATTAATCGGCGCCGCGACCTTTTTCCCTCCCCGTTATCTTTTAATCATATTTTAATAAATTACGGGCCTTTAATTGGAATAATTCGTTTACAATTAGTTAGGGAAATTCCCTAAAGAGGCCCTCCCTTCCCCCTTTTTTATATTTAAATAACGATAGAAGCAATAAAGAAGAGAAGAGGAAAGTAAACGACGTTATAAAGGGACTTCTTAATGTTAGAAGATTAGCGAAATTACATTTTAGAAAAATGGATTTAAGAAAAAGCGAAATAATAATAATATATAAAAACAAAATTTATTTATAATTTCCGAGTTAAAAGGCTTTTTAGGGAAAAAATTTAAAAACTTAATCGAAAATTTTAACGACTTAATCGCTCCGAAAACGGACAATTTACGAGGAAACAAAATGGCTGCCACGTAAATCGTCCTCTACCGGAAAGATTAAATGACGTAATTAACGAACCCACCCCCCTTTTAGAACTCTCTTCTAATGCCTACGTCATATCGACACTCTTAACTCGCGGGTTCGCATCCTGCGTGGTGATTTCCACGTTTTATTCGTCTAAATAGGAGCACTCCCGTTACGTGTTTTTCTCTCCCTTCCAATCCAATTCAATCGAGAAAAACACGGGGGTTTTTTACTCTAGAATTAAGCGATCTTGGAGGAGAATATAAATTTTTATTCTCTTATGTATAGGGCCTAGCGTAAACACGCGGTAGGCCAGCTGTTTCGGGGGTAAAGAACACCGTTCTCGTCCTGTATATGTAATAATAATCCATTCACAACCCACGAAGGCCTTAGAAAAAGCAAAAAAAAAAGGCCCTTTTACAGTAGAAGAGTCGGAAAAAACACACAAAACTTCTTCGTCCCTCTTGACCCAATTTTCGGAATTTTCTCCCCTTCGATTTATCGAATTTCCCCCTACGAAAACGTTTCCCCACTCGCCCAGAGAATGGCCGGAAGTGACCTTTGCAGGATTCAAACCACGTGAAATAAACCGGAAGTGGTACTTGGCCGAAAGAACCATCCGAAAGTACGGCTTAACTATCTAAAAGTTCTGACTTTCTCGATTATCCGTTCAGCACGATTAATTTTAATTCCATCTGCTTTATCTGGAAATACGTTAGATACTATAAATCCCGGTTAAATCCCCTTTCTAATTTACGACCTTTGGGCTAAATTGTCCGAAAATTTCTTGGGTGGAAGACTTCGCCCTCTCCTAGAAAAACAACAGAGGAACTTCCTTCTTCTCTTAAGAAAAACACTTGATTTATCCGCGCTCTTCCGCATCTCCCAGTAACTTCTATGGAAAATATTGTTGTTACGTTAGCTATAGTTACGGAGTTCGTGCGTAACAAAATAATCCATGACGTAACAATGGATGAAACGTGAGATTTGATTCTTTACTCCATTATTACGTAATAGATTAAACGTGTGGTTTACATACTTTACTCTATTATTACGTCATGGATTAAACACGAGGTTTGATACTTCACTCATTTATTACGTCATAGATTAAACACGAGATTGGATACTTTACTCTATTATTACGTAATGGATTAAACACGAGATTGTATACTTTAGTCAATTATTACGTCATGAATTAGGCACGAGGTTTGATACTTTACTCCATTATTAAAACACTACAAAGTAACTGTTACGATTGAAATTAACGAGACGACGTTAAATCGAGGTGCGGAATAACCGGGAAAGAAACTTAAAATTCAGAACAAAGTTCGTAAGAGAAAATAGCGCTTAGGATTTGAATAGAAACTGTCTCCATTCGAAATTACTCCGGAAATAAATGGTAAAAGTTTCGTACGTAACAAGCGTTTTAGTCACGAAATACTTTCCGCGGTAATTAATTTCCTCCCGTCTCTTTAAATCCCCAAAAACGTAACGTCTTCCATGAGGCCCGAAACTTCCTCTTAAGGTTCTCCCATTACGTTACTTCCGGTAAATTAAATAAGGCATTATTTGTAACTAACTAATAAATAACGCCTTCTTTCATTGGACGGACGTAACGTAACAACACTACATATACTAGAACCAGGTTTTCGCGGAATGACGACACTTCCGGAAGGGAATAATAAGAAGCTCTTTTTACGGGAGGGGGGATGGAACCGAATTAATTTCCGTTACGTCACTCTAATTCGTCCTTTTTTTTTTTTAATTTCTTACAGAACCTCAAACACCAGGTCATGACTACCAACGTGTGGGTAGAACAGGTGAGTCTAATTACTGTTAGAATAGGCCTATATATTTGTGTTGTAACCTTTGACCTTTCGTACTGTAGACTTGGGACGACTACAAATTACACTGGACACCGTCAGATTACGGAGGGGTGGAAATGATTCACGTGCCAGCCGAACACATCTGGTTACCCGACATCGTCCTCTTTAACAAGTAAGTTACTCTCTCTCTTCTGTGTAGTTACGTAAGTTACGACACAAATATCAAAATACATTCTTACACTGGGGGAGTAAGCGAAATTTCCTCCTCGTCTCTCGGGAAGGAACACGGGATTTACGAACACGGGAAGGAAGAAGGGGAATTGTAAAAGGGGGAGGAAGCGGCGCGTGGACCTCGTAATAACGTCCGGGACGTCTCCCCCTTTCGATCCGTAATTCGTTCCTCATCGAATTCCGTATTTTATTACGTCATCCGGGAATTCGGAAGAATGGTGTGATTACGTTTCGCAGTTGTTAGAAGTGTTTTCGGGCATTGGGGGGGGGGGATTGGAAGTGAGCGTGGCGGGGGGTCCGATCGGCGTGTGGCAAATTTTCACCGTAATTCAAAAATTTGGAATTCCTCGTCTAAGTTGGAGATCCGTGAAAGGAATTCCGCCCGAGGCTGGCTTCCGAGAAGGTAATAAAAACGTCGGGAAATTCGCCATGTTTCTTTTTTTTTTTGGTAAAGTATCGAGAAGTAAATTGCATTTACTCTCGTTTATTTTTGTTTTTTTTTATTCGTAGACAAACATAAATCCGGATGTTTTACGATCTTTCTCCTCCCTCCCCTCCAGTCGAGCCGATAATTTTATTTATAAATGGCTTGTAAGCGTGGTAGAATGGTCCTCCCTTTCTCCCTCCGCTACGCTAGGAATTCGAACCCGGTATCGAATTCGAAATTCCATTCGGTAGGGGGCGATTTCTCGCATGGTTCTGTAATTACGTCACACTTTTCCTTCCATCGACGTCTGGTGTTTGTTCGTTCCAATCTGTTCGAAACTGGTGATTATTTCCGTTTTATTAGTTACAAATGGATTCTCTAATGGAAATCCTTCGAACCGACGTCTTCGTGGAGGAGATTTTACAGATATTCTTTCGTTCTGTCAAAGAAATTAAGGACAGGGCATCAATACTTATGAAAATTTTCCTTGTGTGGAATGTAGAAAACGCTTGGCACAGTGTGTACTGTACTTAACTTCGAAATAGGAATATGATGTATGTATTTATCGTAACAATTTAGTTAGTAAATTATCTTGCGTGACGTGACGGAGAGAGTAAAATATTCTTTGATTCTGGAAAAACTAAAGATTACGGCGAATTATCAATAGTTACGAGCCCGTACGAAACTGGAAAAGAGAATTTCCTCTTCTTTCACCTGTGGCCTAGAGGATAAGACTAGTTTTCAGGGGTTCATGCCCGCACAAAGCATGGAAAAAGGAGTTTCCACTTCTTCCTCCCACAGTTCCCTAGTGGATAAGACTAGTTTTCAGGGGTTCATACCCGTACAAAGCGTTGAAAAAGAAATTTCCACTTCTTCCTCCCAAACTGGCCTAGTGGGTAAAACTAGTTTTCAGGGGTTTCATGCCCGTACAAAGCGTTGAAAATGAGTTTCCACTTCTTCCTCCCACAGTGGCCTAGTGGATAAGACTAGTTTTCAGGGGTTCATGCCCGTACAAAGCGTTGAAAAAGGAATTTCCACTTCTTCCTCCCAAAGTGACCTAGTGGGTAAAACTAGTTTTCAGGGGTTTCATGCCCGTACAAGGCGTTGAAAAAGGAGTTTTCACTTCTTCCTCCCAAAGTGGCCTAGTGGGTAAGACTAGTTTTCAGGGGTTCATGCCCGTACAAAGCGTTGAAAAAGGAATTTCCACTCCCTCCTCCCATCAGTGAACGAATGGATAAAACTGTAGTATTAGTCGGGTATAAATCCCAAGCAACGAGGTGGAGTTTCGCGGATTTCCTCCCGTGTGTAACACTTAAACAGGAGTTCAGTTTCTTACAGTCAGTTTCCGTGTAGGGAACCCCGTTGACCGCGTTCCAAGCGTGTTTTCCCTCCAGTAGACCTAATGAAAAAGAGATTGGGTTCCGTCTTTTCGTCGATACTCGAAGAAATTAATTACGAACGTCGGAAGCGGGAAGCCGCTACTCCCGATCGAACTCGTAACCGCACCGCGATCGATAGAACACGTCCACCTCCCATTCCTCCTCCCGCTAAAAATATCTAATTTCTTTATTAGCCTCGTCAAAAAAAAAAAAAAAAGTGCTTCGTCCTCCCCCTCCGTTTATCAGAAACGTCTCCCGAATTCTTCCACTTGGACTCGGGTACTAAGAACTAAGTTATTTTATTAAATTATCCTTATTTATGGTCATGGCCTACGACCGCCTCTCCCGCTCTTTCTCACCTAAATATTTAATTTTTATTTTGTAAATTATTTAGAAAAGTTTCTAGTTTTATGGCTCTTCTTCCGGTTCGACTCTTCTTTTAATTATAAATATCTTTACCCCTTAATAATTAAATACACTTTTCCTCTAAGCCAACGAAGGACACACACACACACACGCCCGTCTTCCAGAGGAACGATTCGCATCGCTTTGGTCTTTTCGGTAAAGAAAAAATAGGGAAATTCCCTTACCCGTCGGGGGAGGAAACACATGAAAATTTCCCTTTCCGAACAATTAAATTCCCCGGTTTCCTAACGTCTGATTAATATTGGACGAAGAGCAATTATACAAATTTTCGGGATCGACGTTTGTCGTGTACTTTGACGTTTGTTAAACCGGTTGTTTTCGTTTGAGGTTTGCACAAAATCGATCGGGAGGTCGGTTCTCGAGATATGTTTTCGGAATCCGACGGTTTTCGGGTCGACATTCCCTTTCTAATTAAAATTCTTAAGTGCTCTTTCCACGAAATGCTTCAGCCTCTTCTCTTCGTTATTTCGGAAACGATTTGACCCACCACCAATTCAAGATTTCCCAAATATCTTATTAAAGTTCTAGTCGCCTTCGTCGTCCTCACCGATGTCACCCTAACAAATTTCGGTGTTCTCTCTGGAGCATTTTCAAAAGTGTTTATGCCTTAGAAATTCTCCGAACCTCACCAGCTCTCTCGTGGAATTTCACCTTTTTTTTTTTTTAATTAAACAATCGTAAAAATTGTCTTCCAGTAATTTTCAATCGTTCCTGAATCGTATTCGCGATTATTTGTGGCGAGTCGCTTAATCTGGCAACCGTGTCTTGTGCCCACGCCATTAATTAAATCCTACGAATCTAAGATCATCACGTTTTTTTTTTTTGTTTACACTAATAACTTTTAATAGTTTATTTAGAAAACTAAAAATTTAAAAATTTTATACGATTTACGTCACTACATTTACATTCCGATCGACCCTTCTGCCAGTTGATATCTTTAATAACCGTGTTCGAATTTATTCGTCGACGAACAATTAAATATAATAAAAATAATAATACAGTATTAGTACAATGAAATAATACAGAGTAAAAAAAAAAATATAGGTAAAGCTATCGTCGTCTTTTTTTTTTTTTCACGTTGCCAGTTAACTAAACAAAGCCTCTAGTATTTTTGCTTATTCTGATTGGTCAAATTTAAATTTCGTTTGAATACCAGACGAAGTGTCATATAATAATTTCGTTGTAAAATCTAAAATAAAGGAAAAAATCTCTGAATAAATATTCGTTTTTGATTTACACGAAAATCTAAAAATGAATTGATAAATTTCCTTTTCGTAGTAGACGATCGCTATGGCGGTCGAAGATATTACACGATACAGGAAACTTCCTGAGCGAATGTAAAAAAAAAAAAAAATAAAGGAGAGACAGAGCGTGAAAGATTGTTGTAGAAAAATAAATAAATAGTATTTTCTAAAAATTTGCATTTAGAGTTTTTGTTTACGTTCTTATAAGTTAAAAACTCGCGGATGTTATCGTATATATAATGTTATATTATTATGTTGTATGGTTGATGGAAAGTTTTCAAAGTTTACTTTTTCTAAATAAACTATTGTATGTTCTCGGTAAAAAAAAAAAAAAACATAAACAATAGAAACAACAATAAACTTTCTGATCTATGATTCGTACGAATTAATTAACGATATAACGGTAATACAGGGTTGCCAGATTAAGCGATTTAATGCAAATTGAACGATTTCGCGACGTGATTCGGGAAGACGACTGAAAAATTTTACTGTAATGTAACGACAGAATATAATAACTTGAAGCCAGTGTTTAAAAAGGCTATCGTAAGGCTCAGTATGACAATATCGACACGTTTATAAGGCATAAGAACTTAATGACTTTTGAATTTGTGACGTGGAATCGGCTCACGTCCTGGTGACAATCGGAACGTTATTAAGATACAGTAGAGCCTCGATTATCCGACTCAATAGGGGACTGGGGTTGGTCGGATAATTGAAAAGTCGGATAACCGAAAAGTATGAAAAAATCCATTATTAGTGTAGTATATTATTATATCCCATGTAATTAGTATATCGCTATTAACCTATTTTGCGTTGAATTTTCATCGATGTTAAGCCTAACAAAAAATTTTTTAAAATAATAATCGTCGCTATTGTATCGTTAAAAATTAGAAAATTAAGCCTCGTTTAAATACTGGCTCTCTTTCATGGTCGAATGAGTGTTGCCAGCTAAAACACGTAAAAATAATATTAAAGTAGCCAAGACATAGCCGAATATTGTAGCGCCACATCACTAGCGGACATTTGAAATTTGCCGACTAGGACGGTCGGTTAACCGAGGTGTCGGTTAATCGGGGGTCGGTTAATCGAGGCTCTACTGTATTTGCAAAATCTATTCTTACTTCATTAGGGAGTAATTTAGGATAGTCATCTACGAAAATATTTAATATTTGATAGATTTATTTCGGGACTTCTTGAATTTATCTCGACATTCCGTAAATTAACATTGGTTTGAAATAATTGGAAGTTGGTCGTGGGTTCGCGCCTGGCCAACGAGCCAACCACTTGGAGTTTACCGATTTTCGGTAAACCGCGGTTTTGAAAAAAAAAAAATCGAAAACCGGTTTAGAACAGACAATAGAATTGGTATCATTCTGTTTACTTTTTGAAAATAGATTAACCTGTATTTTCGATATTTGTCCTGTGCCTTATTCAATACCTTGTGTTTTCGATTACTTTTGTTATCGCGTTTTTTCAGTAAGAGGCGGGCATTCCCATTTTGCAAGCTTACTTTTCCCAAAAAACTGCCGATAGACCCGTCTTTAAACTTTTTTCTTCTGGCTTCCCTTTAAAAATATATTCTGGAGTTAGAATATTTTTAAAGGCAGCCGAAAGAAGGAACTTATTTGAATCTTAGCGAAGCGTAAGGAAACGCCTCCCTCTAGCGGGAAAATATCTGACTCGGGCACTTTAGAAAGTTCTTTATTTACATTTCTCCAACGATTTTTCACGTTCTCTTTCTATAGCGCCCCTAGCCTATCCTCTGGCATTTTAATGACCCCTTTCTTCCGCCGAATATATCGGAAAGACACACACACAATATCCTCGACGGTCCGCATCGGCGATTTTCTCGTAAGACCTAAAAGCGACCTCTGTCGTCTCGTTTATCTTCCGTATTCCTTAAAAGAAAACCACGATGGCGCCAGGAATTGTCGCCATGCCCGTGACTAGGACGATTAGTAAATGCAAAAAATAAATTACACGAGCCTTTAACGTGAAATAAGAACAGAGATTTAGCTACGGGACACACTAAAATATGGAATTGTGTTCTGGTGTTGTTGGGCGTGGATCGATTCTATCGCTTATTTTCAAATTCAATCCTCGCATTAATTTCTTTACGTCGTAGCATTAAAAAATACTCGCAGCTTCCCGTTTATTTCATTAACCATTAAGTTATTATTGTGGTTACGACTGTGACGTAGTCATTATATCATTAAACCGCTAAGTATCTCTGCGTGCCACTTCACTTATATTCAGTTCCAAATAGAATTGTATACTTTAAGAAAATCAAGGCAAATCCTGGTTACGAGTACTCCCCCCCCCGTTTTCTCATTTATGTATTAAAGAGAATACTTACAAAGTAGAATATTAAGCCCCGTAGAGTAATATATGTAAACACGAGTAACTGCGCAACTTCGTCATCTGCGCATTTACACGTTTACTCTTTTATTTTTATGCAGTTTTATGCGTAAGATTCTCTTTGTTAATGTACGTTAACTCTTCAAGGGGAAAGTCTTTATATGGCTGCATCAGAGACTTCCTTTTATACCTGCACACCTTTTAGTAACTTATATATATATAGACAACAGCATGCTTTTAGAGTAAAGAGCTACGGTTCGAATCACGAAGAGGGTAGTTTGCAAGGTATCAATACCTCGTTAACCTATTGTAATATTCAAATGCCCTTAAGTTTATATAAAGAGAAGACACATAACTTTGTAATACGTAATATCTAATCACTTAATAACATCATACCGAATGCCTGGACGAAATTTCATTTATGTTACACTAAGAAACCGGCACATACAAGCCGGTACTCTCTTCTAAACGTGTGCAGAGAAGAATTACCAAGTTGGAGGAAAGAAATTCCTCGCACTTCCCATGATTACCAAAGGTTCTTTTTTTAAATAAATAAACAATCGAGAGATCTTCGATCGATAAAATCACTTAAAATCATAGAGAAACGTTACGCTTTCGGTTACTTAGAGGCGAAATTTCAATCAACCGATAGCCAGAGATCGGGACGAAACGGGTGTAACCTAAAGATTTTATAAAAGGATTCGATGCCCGATGCGAATTTACACCTCTACAGAAACTAGGATTTTGTAGATAAACCAGGATCGTTGCGCTCACCAAACTACCATTTCTATTTACCTTAATTGGTTCCTCAACTTTTCCAGGAGCGTATTTAACTCTCCGGCTTTCAGGCTATAAAAGTCACGTGTTAGAGTGAAAACAATGCGTATTACGACGTTTCAAATGACTCGGAAATATTTTATTTGACGTTCCAATGTATTCCATCGATTTTTTTTTCTCTCCCCTTTCCAAAATAATGGAGTATTGCTAGAGAACGAGTGTATTTTCAGAGAATAACACAGAACTTTTCGAAGTAAACAAAAGAGAAGTTTGCGTGCGTAGAGAAAAATGCGTAACTGTGAAATCAGTCGTTCCTTACCCCTTCAATTTTTGCCACACGTTCCTCCAATAAACCCAATTCGGAAGGAAACAAAATAAGAAACATATAACAGGCCCTTCCCTTCCACCAAATAATTATACACGTAATTAAGTGGGGGAGCCTCCAGCTCTGTATCATTTATCTGTACAGCAATCACCAGCAGCCATTCCCCATCACACCGGAAATCGTGCCAGAAACCTTAAACAAAGTTTCCCACCAATTGATAAAATATTGTGGCACAGTTTTTTTTTACCCCGCACCTTTAAAAAACAAAGATTTTTTCCTAATATAACCGAGATTCTTCTCGACTTCTGAAGGAGCATCGATCTTTGTTTTCTCTCTCTTCACTTTTGACATTGTTCTTTAGGAATTCCCTGGAAACCCGGAACGGTTTGACTTTGATCCGGCAAAACAACAGGTTTGTGTTTAAAAAAAAAAAAAGAACAATTTGGTGNTACGGCAGCTACTGCGCGCGCGAATTCTCGCCTCCGGCTTACTTTCCCCATTTTACCCCCCCGGGGAGGTCACGGTTCGCCTCTCAGCAAAACAACAGGTTTGTGTTTAAAAAAAAAAAAAAGAACAATTTGGTGTTTACGTAACTTAGAAAAACAATGATTAATCTAAACTTTCCGTGTTTCCTGGAGGATTTACCATCGATATTCTGACAATTTACAACGGGAAACGCTTTTAAATAAACGAGGAGTCAATCCCTCTCTCCCGTTTTACCGGGATCGACACACCGATATAGCGGGGTTACTATAGTAACGCTACGAAATTTACCATCCAGTTCGGTCTTCCGGGTCTTCTCCTCCTCCCCGGTTTACGTGTTACGACTTGGTCAAGGAAAAATATGGAATTTTTTTTTTTTTTTTTATATAGCAATTCCTTCGTCTCGCGCCATGTTTATCGGACCATCCCTTGTTATTTATGTATCTATCGGGGAATAAAAAGAGGGAAGTAACGACCCGTTACTTCATCGCTCGTCGATGGATTGTTTTCGCGCGTGTTTTAGGAGAGGATTCCTTCACGTGCCATTTACGACCGGCGGAAAATATACGTATTTATCTTCCATATCCGCAAATACTCCCTTCTTCTATGACGTCTTAACCTCCCCGTAAAGATGGAAGAACTTTCACGAGTCGGGTGCTTTGACTCTGGCGTAACGAAGTTTATTCGAATTTCCGTAAACGTAACACAAGAAGAGCAAGCGGGACACCCTCGCTCTTCCGTAAACGTAACACAAGAGCAAGCGGGACACCCTCGCTCTTCCGTAAACGTAACACAAGAAGAGTAAACGGGACACCCTCGCTCTTCCGTAAACGTAACACAAGAAGAGCAAGCGGGACACCCGGGTTGGTGACAAAGCGCCTAATTCTCGACATTCCCAAAATCCTCCTGAAAAATCCTCCGCTTCCACTTTCGGAATTTCACTTTTTTTTTCTAGTGTTAATAGAAGGAAATTATTAAGTTAATTGGGGGTTCGAATTTCTTTGCCAGCGCCGACGGGAATTACGAAGTGACCCTGATGACCAAAGCTACGGTCCACTACACGGGAAAGATCGTGTGGAAGCCTCCCGCCCTATATAAGAGCACGTGCGAGATCGACGTGGAATACTTCCCCTTCGACGAACAATCTTGCATTATGAAATTCGGATCGTGGACCTACGACGGATACGAGGTAAGTCTCTTTTTTTTTCCGTTTCCGTGGTGAAGGGAGGGAGAAGACGATGCGGTTTCTTGGCTCTCTGCCAACTCCCACCCAAGCGGGATGCTTCAGAACACCAAGAGGAGATCGCCATCCCCTCCTCTTCAGAGGGTAAGAGTCGCTTCCTGTAGGATTTTCGACGGAAGCGAGCAATTGAATGCCGGAAGAGAATGGTAGAGTATGAAAGGGTCTTTTCTGCGCGTGCCGAAAGGTTGCGCTTCCACCCTCCTCTCACTTCCCCGAAAATACAGAAGGAGCTGGAAATAATTACTTCGCAGCGAGGATGAACGTCCTTTCCTCTTCTCTCTCTCCCTCTCTCTCTCGTATCGCTTTCTCGCCGGGGTGACGAGAAATCCGCTGTTTTTCACGGTCCGAGAGAATTTTCGGAGTCGAATAATCAGCGGCGCGGGAATTTCGATTAGCGTTCGCGCTCCAGCGAATCGCTACGTCTATCGCTCCGCCTGGCGAAGGAAGATACGGCGCCTCTCCTTTCCTCCCCCGCGAATCTCCGAGCCTCCCCGTATTATTCTCGGCTCGTCGACCGCCGATAACTCCGCGCACTCGCTCTCGAGGTAGATTTATTGGCGCGAGATCCACGCCACGCCTTTCTCCTTCCTTTTCCCGACAGAAAAGGAGACGTCGCGCGCGCGCGCTGGCGACCGACGAAATGCGCTTCGTAATTACAAAAAAAGAAAGATGTTTTGTCCACCCTTTCACTTCCGGTGGCTTTTGTTTTTAATTATTATTATTTTTTGCTCTCTTTTAGGTGGATTTGCAACACGTGAAGCAGGAACCAGGGACTAACACGGTAGCTATGGGAATCGATCTGAGCGAACTTTACAAGAGCGTAGAATGGGACATTCTATTGGTACCGGCCAAATACAACGAAGAATACTACGATTGCTGCGACGAGCCCTATCCGGACATCACTTTTAACATCACAATGAGAAGGAAAACCCTATTCTACACGGTTAATTTGATTATACCGTGCGTGGGAATTTCCTTCTTAACCGTGCTAGTGTTTTATCTCCCTTCGGACAGCGGGGAAAAAGTTACGCTCTGTATATCCATTCTAGTCTCCCTGACCGTTTTCTTTCTTCTGCTAGCCGAAATCATCCCACCCACGTCCCTAGCCGTCCCCCTCCTGGGAAAATATCTTCTGTTTACCATGATCCTCGTCACTCTGTCCATAGCGGTGACTGTAGGAGTGCTCAACATCCACTTTCGTTCTCCCTCCACTCACAAAATGTCGCCCTGGGTGAGACGCGTCTTTATCCACATTATGCCCAGACTTCTACTGATGAGAAGGCCCCTGCACACTACCGAAGACAAACTGACCGAACCTCCCAAATTCGCGGGCAGGAATTGCAACGGCATGGAGATAAGAAGAGACTCCTTCGTTCGGATGCAAGCGGAGCGCAACACCCCGCCGCCTGATGCCTTGCACGTGGATTACAGAATGCGCGCGGGACGCGAAGACTTAGTCCGGGAAAACGCCGAAAATACCGACCACGCCCATTACAGGCACCATTCTCCGGAAATCCAGAAAGCCATCGAGAGCATTCTCTTCATTGCCGAACATATCCGGAAAGAAGACGAGGAGCAGAGCGTGAGTAATTCCTCCCCCTTCCTCATTATAACCCCTTTTTTTATATAACTATATAACGGGGGGTGTTTTCGTGTTTTGCAGGAGATAGAAGACTGGAAGTACGTGGCCATGGTGCTGGACAGGTTGTTTCTGTGGATCTTCACCATCGCTTCGCTGGTAGGAACGTGCGGAATACTGCTTCAGGCCCCTTCTCTGTACGATGATCGGATCCCGGTCAGCGACTCCTAAAGCGGATCTCTTCGATCGGCAGCCCTCATACGGCAGCTACTGCGCGCGCGAATTCTCGCCTCCGGCTTACTTTCCCCATTTTACCCCCCCGGGGAGGTCACGGTTCGCCTCTCAACAGGAGTGATGGGTCGCTTCTTCCTGCCTCACGGTTCGACGCCCCACTCGAGAGAGAGAACGGGCCTTTCTTTTATTTATTTATTTTTTTTACTTTCTTTCTTTTACCTTCGGTCCTCCCCCACCTCCGATTTTCTCTCGTCGTTTTCTATTCTTCTGCGGCCGGAATATATATTTCTACACTTTTTCCTCACTCGGCCGTTTTACGAATCTCTCTCTTCCTTCCTCTCTTTCTCTTCTAACTCTCACTTCACGCGCTTCCGCTTCCGGAATCGCCGCTTTCCTTCCCCCCAAAAACGGGAGGACTCTTCCCCCCCAGCACGCGGGGAAGAAGTAACGGCGCCGTTCGGACGGACGAACGGACAGACGGACGGGACGTTTTACCCCTCTTTTTTCCGAGACGTGGATCCAGTGCCAAAGAGTCCCGCCGAAATTTCTTCCCGTCTCTTCTCGGATTCCGGGGAAAATTCCCTTCCCTGCCTTTCCGCTTCCGGTGGCGATTTAGGGGGGGGTCGAATACACCCTGAACCCTCGGCGGGCCTCGTCTTACGTGTGTTTTATACTCCGGTAGAATCAATTTCTTTCGGTTTCTTGTAGATAGCAACCGTTCAATAAAGTGGAAAGAAAGTCGCCCGCTGGTTTTCTTTTCCTCCCCTCTTCCTCCCCGGAAGTGAACCCCTTTCGCGATTTTCGTTTCCGGTAGAAGGAATGTTTCGACTGTAAAAAAAAAACTGTTAAAAGTTTCTTTTAAAGTGGTTGTATACGAAAGGATTTGGTGGAGGAACCCCTCACGGCGCGCGTGCTCTCGTTGTAGTGTCCGTCGTCAGAGAGGAAGAAAGGTGACACCGGGGTCGGCGGACGAAGGAGAAGGGACCGAATCCGCCACCGCCCTGATGCGTCGAGGAAGGAGGGTCCTCCCCCCCACATCGAAAGGTGCCAAAGGATTTCCGGAAGCTACCGAAAGAAGAAAGTCGAGAGGAAACGACGAATTTAGAGCTCTTTCCTCCAAATTTTTAACTCCATTATTCGTAACTTTATTAACGTTTAGTCAGAATAAACTTTTTTGAAACGAATTATCGAGTTTTCTGTTCTTAAATTAACGCCAATTCCATTCAAATGGACCAAACCGGAAACTCTCCCTTCAACCTTTTCACGCCCTTTCCTCCGTAACCGGAAATAACGAAGGGCTGGCCAAATTTTGCCAAAACGCGAAGCGTAACGTATACGTCACTTACGCGCTTGGTTAGCGTAACGCCCGCGTAACGGATACTCCGGAAGGGACTTCGACTGTTACGCACGATTCTCGCATCGAAGGGCACAGAAATCGCCTATTGTTTAAATACAGGCGATTTCCCTGAATAACAATGGAACCGACGTGCCGGATTTCGAACGTGTATCATTCCGCTTCCGTAAGAAGACGTAATTAACACTTCGAAAATTCAAAAAAGTTACGTCGTATGACGTAGCCTGATGTTTTTCGAATTTTTGGTAGGAATTCCTTCCTGTTTTACGCGTTACTTTCGCCATCTCAGGTTGTAAAAATTGAAATAAATACTTAGTAAAAACGAACGTTTTCATTCGGATTTTATTATCGATGCAAACAGGCAAAAGACACACTACAAATACATTTAAAAGGGTATAAAAATGAGTCATTAACTCAGTTAGTTCGTACAGAAAGTGGGCATTTATGTGAAACGAGAGAGCATCTATATTGACGCTGTATTTAGTCGAGGATTCGCGCTTCACCGACGTCCTGGAAGAGTAGATTTTTCCGTGTTTTCTTCGCGTGTTGAACACCTAAATAAGGAAGAAAGTCCTCTTGGGGTGCATGATCCTTTGGCATGCACGTTATATCGAGGTTTGAGTGTATTGGATTAAGTAGAAACAAATTCAGACTATTAGAACCAGTTACTTTACAAAAGTCATGCCGTGTTAAACGGTGTGTATACGTTGAAAAATAAGCTACACCTACCTTTTTCGAGATTAATGTTACTGTAAAAAAGGTAAAGGAACCCGGTCCCTTTTACCTTTTTAAATATTTTATATTTTTAAAATATATTTACAGGGAAAATGACCTGAACACTTCAAATGCACTTATACACGTGTGCATTTAAACCAGGGTTTACCCTTCGTAGAGACTTTTATAGTGATACAATGATGAATGTAGGAAAGTGTTATTTAGTGGGGTCCTCGGGGGCATTGCCCGATTAACCGTAAAACACAGAAGAGTAAACACAGGAAGGTGGCTAGTAGAGTGGCCATTTTCCTAAACGGTACAGGCCAAATATTCGGGGTTGGGATTGGACGAGAAATTAGCGTTATTCTTTGTCCAAACTCGGTTAGCGAGGGTTATAAAGGCACAATAAACGTCAGAGAACGGGAGTATCTCCTTCCTAAACGTAAATAATTGTATAATTAAGAACTCCAAAACCGGAATTCATTGTTCCTGTACTCGTTCATACCCGGTAAAATACCACTTTAAACACTCCGAAACAAATCTTTAAGCCTACACGGATAACCGAGTGAGTCAATTGTAACGAAGTTTATAAAGTAGGTCGATTTTAAGAACGACCCCCCCCCTTCGTTAATTCGTTCCTCTCGGAGAGGAATTAGCATTTCTCTCTCTGGCCAATTCTTTGAGAGTGACATCACAGTTGTATCGATTGTCCGAAAATATAATTAATGACGTCATAGGGGTGATAAAAAACTGGCAACTTTTCTTTACTTTCTGGTGACGCGACGTTTGGTGTTTAATAAATTATATGTCGTACCGTAAGATGGCGTAAATTATCGATTTTTTATCCGGGAGAAAGGCGATTCCGACGGATTAACCGGGGGGGGAGGGTGGAAGCGGCGAGTGTAACGTTTCGATTATTGCGCCCGTCTGTCGACTATCGACAGAGGTCTTTACGATCACAAAAAAAGGAGAGAACAATAAGTTTTTTTGTATTCGAAAGATAAATTGTTTTCCATTTTCCATCGGCGGTAATTACGTTTTAGGGGGGAATAAATCGCTCTTTATTTAATATCGACCTTCGAATAACGTTCTTTATTGTTATTATTATTATTATTATTATTATTATATGAGTGTCTGGCGTCGTTAAACCGGGGCCAGTTCTTTGTAAACTTCTATATTAAACGCCTGTCTTAAAATGACGTCAACAAAAGATTGTGTTTCTTGTGTATTTCGTAGACAAAATGGCGGATTTCGTAAAGCCCGAGCAAACGTATTTCCTGTAGCTTTGTGAACAAGATTAATAGAAATGCATTGTGTGTAATTTTAACTTTTATTGACTAACAAGTTACGTGTTCGAATACACTAGAAAACTCTTCATAACAGCCTTGGCAGGTATGTAAATGAATACAGCTGTGTTCCAATCTCTTACCAGATGTCATTAGGGTGCCTTAAAGTCGCTACTCCAATATCTTATACAAAGAAAAAGGCTCCCAAAGGCTACTGTGTTCGGGGTATACCTTCTGTTTGAAGGTCTCTGAATGCAGGCGTGCCAATAACGGATCCAGAAATCTTTAGAGAGATGCAGAAGAGTAGTAGTGAGCCTTACTACATGGATCTACACGAGAAAAACCCACAGAAGAGGTGCAGTTTTACCCCGTCCCTCCCTAAATCTGTCCCTCCCAAACTTTATTAAGGAATAACACGCGGCATTATTAATTACGCGTATAACGTAGTGTACGGAGAAGTAACGTAAGTTGCTCGAAATCACCCGGATAAACCGCAATCCATTCGGAATAACGCTTCATTAATACGTACACCCGGGCGTATGACGTCAAAATAATGAAGGGTATCCGTACAAATATCCGTTAACTAATTATAGAACGAGCTCCGTGGAGGCGAAAATAAAAAACGACATGCTATTATCATCGTTTACGGGAAGTTTATTTTTGACAGGTAAAGAGTTTTCTCTAGAATATATATTATAATTAATAAGAATATTAATGCGTGTTGCGGCCAAGCGCGCAATAACGCGACGCGACATTACTCTCCTTTTAAATATGGCCAGAGAATACATTAAAAGGGGGGTAACGTGTTGACGCCAAATTCCTCGCTTTCTGTAGAAACTGTTGAATATATTTAAATGAAATAACCGCGTGGAGTGCCTCCCCCCTTCTCTTAATCCTCAAGGAGGCCCCACGTATAAAAATTCCTGGTTTCTAGTGTCCTGGAAAACACGGAATGTTCTTAACTTTGGAACGCTGAAGCTTCTTGCACCCCCCCCTTTTTTATAGTCTTTGGGCACCGCTGCACGTGATTAACACCTAAATAGGGATCGATTTCTCATAAAAGTCCTCTGTTGAGGAAGATGGTAACGTAACACGTGTGATATGGTTCACTTTATACCACGTCTAGTATGGCCTGAGTACCCAGCACCATATTAACTGTGAAGAATAAAGATGAAAACAGAAACAAGGGGGAAGTCTCTTAAAGAAAATAACATAAAAATGTGATTAAGAAAGAAGAAATTAATTATTTTATAAATATAAAAATAGTAATGACTTAATAGAGGAGAAGAAACTAAAGATAGAAACGCGACAATTAACTGACAAAATTAGATTGAACGTGAGAAACGATGGACGGGATTGGCTAAAGATTTCGGGAATGACGTACCGAATCAAACCTGTTTACGTCATCGTAATTCGGGGTTGGTTTTCGATGACGTAAACGGTGTTTTCGGTGGTTCCGAAACATAAGATACGAAGGATTCAATAAAAATACCCTTCTATACTTGGATGCCCCCGACGTAGAAAAAGGGGTGACACTAATTATTGGGAAAACTACAGACAAATTATTATTATATCGACTATTGGAAAAATATTTGAGAAAATAATCTATAGATGCTCTATGTCATTCGTAGATAAATATAAATTAATTAGTGGCAAACAATAGGGATTTATATAGAATACTGGAAACAGACACGCATTGATAAACTGTTACAATAATGCGATAAAGCAATTGGATGATTCTCGCCTTACCAATTCAGTTTCCCTGGGCTTAATTAAAGCTTTCATTCTGTGTTAGTATCACATAATTAACACAGCTTTCAGCTGTATTTATCGTCAGATGCCAACACAATTTCTTCAGAAACTATCACAATTTCGTGAGATTGCAACATAATTTCTTGAGATTCCAATACAATTTCTTGAAATTCCAATACAATTTTTTGAAATTCCAATGCAATTTCTTCAGATATCAATCCAATATCTTGAAATTCCAATACAATTTCTTGAGATATCAACCCAATATCTTAAGATTCCAATACAATTTCTTGAAATTCCAATAAAATTTTTTGAGATTCTAATATAATTTTTCAGATATCGACACAATATTTGTGATACCAACAGAATTTCACGCGAAACCAACGCAATTTCTTCAGATATCAACATAATTTTTGTCTTGGTATAATCACAATCTCATTAATCACGAGATACTAACACAAAAATTGAAATATCACTGCTTCAAGATACTCATGAATCCCTACTTAAACAATAGAAAATACATTTGTTCCTCGCAACCCATACAAGTTCACAAGAGTGGATAACGGCTTCAATATAATTCAATATCTATGCTAATGCTCTACTTTTATAAGTACAGTACAAAAAGGGAAAATTATTGTGTGTACAGACGATACAAATTAAACTGAAACCAGTGGTTAGATAAATTATAAATAGGCCTTGATGTGTCTGGGGTGCTGCTCCGAAAAGACATTCGAAAACACTACAAAACCTGGATTAATGTGCATACTACTCATTTACAACAGAGTAATTATAAGACATACTGTACAAAATAAATACAGTACTTTTTTGACAATGCTGGAGGCTTTTGAGGGGGGTGGAGGATTGGGAGAAGGTGATAAAAACAATGGTCTTAACAATAATTAAACTGCAAAACACAAAAAATTGCTCGAGCTAAACTTAACAGGAGGTGGGTTTTAGGGATAAAACCCCACAGTATTTCTTCTTTCCCCACAGTATTTCGAAGAATACCCATGCCAAATTTGGTGAGGATACATTGAACATTGAACCCTTTACCTAATAAACATACCTAAATACTTGGGGTGGGCTTTAGGTGTGGTTAGGGGTACACACATACATATCTTGACTTCCTCAGGTGCCATCACGATGCCCTTTATTATGATGTTTTGCGTTGTTTTTCACGAAAATAGTAATTCTTTTAATATTGACCTCCCGTTAACGTCACTGATTTCACCCCTCTACCTATACCAATAGGTAGATTTCCCGGGATCGGAGATGGTCACGTGAGCTATTGACGTATCAAGTCATTTCTTTTCGCGGTTTTCTCTGTTCTATACGTGTGATTACTACTTCTTCGTTTTCCGGATCACTCGCGCGCTTATGGGGGTTTCTTCCGGTTTCCACCCCCCCAGTACCGATTTCGTTCGGCGTTGCCCCGCTTCCTTCCTCCAATTAATATCAATCGTCTTTATAATTAAACGAAATAATTAATTAAAATAAGCTCCGTTCGGAATAATTAACGATCTTGGCGTTAATATTGGCCGAGGGTCACCCCGTTACTCCGTCTAATTACCGTTTTTCTTCAGCCATTTTTCTCCGGACTCCACCTCCGACGTAATAGGGAAGCGGGCGGGGGACGTTCCGTTTAATTCCCCCTTTTCGTAATTAACCGGAAGTTCCCGAAACACCGAACGCAAAAAGCGATATTTTTAAGGAACCGCCGGATTCTGAGCGTTTCCCCGTCGTGTTACACTCGAGTTTTCGTTCTCCACCCCCCCCGTTAAAACGCGACGGAGGAATAAGAAGGATTTTCTCGGTCCTCTCCCAAAGCTATCCGATAAATTGTCCGACTGAACGTAATTCCGGAGTATTTTCGACGGGTTTCCGGTCCCTTAACCGAAAGGGAGACGGGGGACTTCCGGTAAGATTTCTCCCCGCTTCCTCCTTCCTCCACGCTTCTCTTCCGAGTGAATGGCTCCTGGCCTTTGACCTCGGGGTGGCGTAGCACGATAAGTTATCGTCCGACCCGTAATTAACCGGACCGAACTTTGACCTCAAGAACTAAGACGCACGCGGGAAAGAAAACAACCACCTTCTTTAGGAAGAAAGCTTTTTATTTCCATCGGCGCGGCCCCGGGAACGACACCCGGCGCTCTGCCCCTTCCGGGCGCCGCCCGGCACCGCCTTCTCCTCTTCCTCCTCCTGCCAAAGCACGCGCGGTCGGCGGGGCCCCGGTGGGGCCCCCTTCCATCCGGCCCAAGCTAGCTCTAGATCCGCCGGTGCGGCGGCTACTTATTGCGAATCGAATGGAAGACTTAGCGTCGGAAGCGGGCCGCGCGACAGTCGGCCGCCCCGTCGCTCTCCCCCCGTCCGGAGCCGCGACAAGAAAAAGAAACAAAATAAAAAGAGATAGAAGAGCGGCCCTTGCCGGGGGCGGAGCCCTCTTCGCCCGCCGCCGACGAAATTCTAACTAACCCGAGCGGGGGGGGGGCGCCGGGCCCGACGAATAGAGAAAGAGCCGAGGGCGAGGAGACCGTCTTCCCCCTCCTACGTGCCGTGGTCCAGTCGCGATCGCATGCGAGAGAAGATGACGTCGATGGGCTGCTGCTTGTCCTCGAAGAAGGCAGGAGCTTGAAGGATGATGCCAGCCGACCCTACCAGACAGGCGACGCTGAAGATCCACAGGAACAGGCGATCCAGCACCATGGCCACGAACTGCCAGTCGTCCAGAATCTGTCCGAGACAAATCCCCGTTAAGGTCCTCATCCACAAAAAAGAAATAGGCGCGGGGGGGAGGAATTACGTAGGGTGGTCGCGTGGCTGGCACCGGGCCAAACTTCGATCGAAATCGCGTCGTTCGTTAACTCCGATTCCACCCCCCCGATAAGGGGAGGAATCGGAATGGTACAGAAGAACGGTCCACCCCCTTTTGTCCTTAAAGATTTACTTCTTTTGCTCGAAGTTTCCCTCTCGAATCTCGCCCGTGGGGGGGGGAGGGGGGAGTGAATCTGGTTACCTCCCGACGCGACAGGAGTGCCAGCGGAACCGGAAGTAAATCTGCCGAAATTACTACGCGAGAAATTAGGAAGTTAAAGGGATCTCACCTCGGAAAACGAGTCGAGGTTCTCCTTGTGCTGGGCCACGAATCTGACGTTCATCACCGCCCTCTCCATGTCGGGGCAGGGCCTGGCGTCCGACGTGCCGGGCCCCACGTCGTGATCCAACATCTCGGAAACGGCGTAGACGGTGCCGTGGTAGGAACACTCCACTTCCAGCATCCCGGGTTTGACGTTGAGGGCTTCGGGCATCTCTACCGATTCCAGGATCTGTCCCTCTCCCTTCTTCTCCGAAGGTTCGTCGGAGGAGGGTCTGTTCATCCTCAAAACTCGAGGCAGAACTTCTAAGAACACTTTGCGAACCCACGGCGCCATTTTGTGCGTGGACGGCGATCGAAAATTGACGTTGAGGACCACTATTGTAACGAAGACGGACAGAGACACTAGAAACATGGTGAAGAGGAGATACTTTCCCAGAAGGGGAACGGTCAGGGAGGTAGGGGGAATGATCTCTGACAGGAGGAGGAAGAATACCACCAGGGATAGCATGATGGAGATGCTGAGGGATACTTTTTCGCCACTGTCAGAGGGGAGATAGAAGACCACCACCGAAAGGAGAGAGATGCCCACGCAAGGGATGATGAGGTTGACGGTGTAGAAGAGGGTCTTACGCTTAATGGTAATGTTGAAGGTGATGTCGGGGTAGGGTTCTTCGCAGCAGCTGTAGAACTTCTCTTTCCTCTTGGCGGGGACGGCCATGATGTCCCATTCCACGTTCAGGTTGAACTCTCTCAGATCTATTCCGATGTCAATTTCGGGAGATCCTTCCATTTGGTGTTTATGTTTCAGGTCCACCTGCGCGAGTCATAAAGAATTTTTATTACCTTCCGCTCCGCCCTGACTTCCGGTAGTGTAGCCGGCCGGCCTTTCTCCCGCTTCCGGTTTGTTTCGGTGGACTTTTCCGAGGGATCTTTGACCCTCGACCGGGGAAGCGCGCGCGCGGTCGGAACTTCCGGTAAAAATCACAATATGACGGTGCGGCTTTTTGGAAGCGGGCCAAATCGCTCGTTTGGGCGGCGGCTCGTCTTCCCGGTCCGCGGGTTGGATGGTTAATCGAATTTCTCGGTCGCCCCCCCGGATGAGGGGGGCGACCGAGAAGGAAGTAAGGAAGGAAGTAGATTCGATTGGACGATGGGGCCCGTTTCCAAATGGGAGTTTTGGAGAGTCTCTTCCTCTCTCTTTTCCGCCGCGCGCGCAGAATTTATATAATAAGAGTGTCCTTAATAGGAGGGAAATCGTTTAATTCTTTAAAAATTCTCATTTAATCGACAGACGCGAAGGTTCCCACTCTGATTTTTTTTAACAATTACTTCGTCTTAAACGGTCGTCAAGTTAATTAAATGGTTTGGCGAAGAGGGGCGCCGATTGGGGTAAAACCACCCCCTTGCGGTAATTTCCCCTCATCACCTGCCCCTTTTCTCGTCTATCCAATTCTCGGACGAGATCTGAGGAACGGGAAGGGGGGAAAAAGTCGCGTGGCACCAAACCGGAAACTCTTCACCTCTCTTCCGGAAGTTCTCGGCACCGTCGGGTGCCGAGAACTTCCGGAAGAGAGGTGAAGAGGGACTCACCGTGTATCCGTCGTAGGTCCAAGATCCGAACTTCATGAAGCAGGTCTGTTGATCGAAGGGGAAGTACTCCACGTCGATCTCGCACGAGCTCTTGTAGGTGGCCGGAGGCTTCCACAGGACCACTCCGTCCCAGTGCAGGATGGCCTTGGTCATGATGGTCACCTCGTAGTTTCCGTCGGCGCTGCGAATCCAGCGTAATCGTCACTTCCGGTTCCGGGGTGCGGGACGGATCCGCGGGCGGATTCGGGGTTGCCGTCCTCCGAGCCTGGGGGGGGAAGGGTAGGAAAGACCGGAGAACGAGAAACACGCCCTCGTCGTACCCTTCTCGACTACTCTCCGTCGCGTACGCGCGCGCCGCGCGGGTAACCCCACCTTCCCTCCGGCCCTTTACGCTTCCCCCACCTTTCTGCTTCCGGTTCCGATTCGTGCGTCACTCGTAACGCAATTGCCAGCGCGCGCAGGACGGTCGAGCCCACCCATAGATCCGTCTCCGCTCCGTCCGATAGAAACGAAGGGTTCTCACTTGTTGTAGAGAACGATGTCGGGTAGCCAGATCTGTTCCGCCGGCACGTGCAGCTTGGACACCCCTCCGTACTCGTCGGGATCCCAACGAAGTTTGTAGTCGTTCCATTCCTGCAATCGTCCGGGCGTTAGTTCCTCCCTCCCTCTCAAAGAAGAAGCACGGGAGGAAGCGGAGAGGAAGGAGGAAAAAGCTTACCTGTTCGACCCAGACGTTGGTGGTCATGATCTGATTCTTCAAGTTCTGTAAAAAGAGGGAAGATGAGTGTTCCGGTAAGCTGACTTTCCGTAAGGCTTCCCCCAAAAGTGGAGGGGGAGGAAGAGAATATCCTTATAAAAGGCCATCTTTAAGAGAAATTTACTTCGTCTCTGTTGTTTTTTGGATAGAGGGAATCCTCCGCCACGGTCCGACGATCGAGTAGGAGGGGAGGGGAGAGAGAGAAAAGAGTCACTGGTTTGCACGCGCGAGATAGAAGCTTACCCCCGAGTAATTAGGAGCAGGAGGGAGGAGGAATCGATAGGTTTCGAAGCCGAATTACCCGGCGAATAGGGAAGAAGGAAAGCTCTCTTCGTCAGTCGCTCGTTCTTCTTTTTCTCCCTCCCCCTGACGCCTAATTAAGTTTTAAAGAGAAATCCCGATCGGTTTTATTTAATTAAGCGCGTGCTTGAATTTAAAAAAAACACCCCGGAATTTCCGATTAATAGAAATTCGAATGGTGAGAGGGAGCGCATCCTCCCTCCATTCGGACTGGGAAAATCGTGGGAAAAAGCGCGGAAGAACACTAAAACCCCCTCGTTCCGTTTTTCTGTAGGCCCACCACGTGACCGAATCTAACGCGCGAGAATACCGTTCGATACGGTATCGGCCGCTTCCAGATAAGGCCTTATCGGGAAGTCCTCCTCCTCCTCCTCCTCTCCCACACTAACGATGCTTTTCGTCGTCACTACTCGGGACCACACCCACTCGATCCGCATTCGGAAAGGGGAGAAAGAGGGGGAAGGAAGCTCGAGGGGGGAAGCCGATTTCATAAATCCATCGAACCCTTCTGGAAAAGGCGATTAGGAGGATCGGTAATGGATCTAACTTTTTTCCGGTTTAGCACGTGGCGAAGGGGAGGAGATTGGAGGCGTTCGATCCGAAAATCGATTTTCTTTCCCCCCCCGATCGATCCCCGATTGCTCCTTCCGTTTAAATTAAATAACTTTTTATCGCACCGGCCGGAAGAAGTAACGTTTATTCGCCTGGTCGTTTGTCGCCCGATTTTCCTCTTAAAGACCGTTTCACACGGTTGCAGCACGCTCGGGCATTGCGTTACCATAACAACAAGTGTTATCGGAAGGGAAATTCACGTGCCGTTTAGTGTTATTTCTACGTGGTCACAAAGAAACGACGCCCACCGATCGGTATGTAATGTCATAGAAAGTAGTAGGCCTTTGATTCGGTACTTTTGACAGGTCACACACGTTCGTCGCTTTTATATTGGATTAAAAGAGACTTCAGTTAAGTTTAAACCACGTGCCGAAGCGTATATATACGCTTTGGCACGCGCACACACCATACAAAGTGTTGGTATTCTACGTCACAGGACTTGTTGCATTGTATGCGGCGAATCCTCCAACGAAGGCGATGCGTGTGTATAGAGGGGATTAGTATAACATAAGGCAGCTTTTACATTAATTTAGGGTGTTAAGAGGATGCGTATACTTTCCAAAGATCCCCTAGATTGAAAGAAAACCCCTACTTTCCAAAGATCCCCTAGATTGAAAGAGTACACCAACTTACCAATTGTTCTACAGTTGTTTTACCTCCAACTAGATACGAAACGAACTTGAAACTTGGCGGAACGAATGAAACGACATTTTCCGCCAAGTCCTTTCATACCGGAAACCGGGCAATTTACTTCCGGACCACCCGGAAAGAAAAGTAACAAACGGAGGCCTCTCCGTCTTTCCGTCGCCGCAGTGGGTGGAGAAGCGACGACGCGCGCGAATACGAAGGGCTCGACGCGGAAACCGTCGAAAAAAGCCTGCGGAAAAAGAAAAGGAAGATTTCCTTTGACGTAATGAAGAACGGAAACCGCTCTTGAAGGAAAAAAAATCTAATTCGGTGTCTTCTTCCGCTCGGAAGGCGAGGAAGAAAAAAAAAAAAGTTAATCGATAGGTACGGTACGCGTCGCCCGCTTCGAGCGTTGCGCCGCGCCACTACGTAAGGGACGGTTCTGAGGAGATCGAACGAAAGTTTCGGGGGGGGAGAGAAAAGAAGCGAACTCCCGATTAACCGGTATTAAAGCACGTTTTACCGGAGGAAACAAGAGCGCAAAATCCCTATTTATCCGGAAGTGATCGCGAAAACTTGAGAGCGCGAGCGATTGAAAAGACCCGGTGTGTTGTATCCAGTGAGAAAGTCTGTCGAAAATAAACAGATTCACGAGAAAATTGATTTCCGAGATACTTTAATCTCAACTTTATAGAACACTTCGCTCATCCGGAAGGAAAGTAATGCAACTCGTGACGTAAATTCGGTATTATAACGTTCAATTAATATTAACCTAACGTTTAGACCTGTAATACGACCATTCCCTGACACTTTTCCACCCGAAAATGCAGCCATTTTCGATTTGTTTTTGTTCAAAAACACAAGAAATACGGCCACGTCTCTTCCGTACGAGAGATTTAATATAATTGAAACAAACTAATTGTTTCTGTTCTATTTTCTATTAAAGTCGTTAACTAATTATTAGAAGAGAATACGTAAACATCCCTCTCACTCGAACCAAGTAACACTAGGATGATTTTTCGAGTGGGAGGGCCCCCCGGATAAACTTTCTGTAGGCAACTGCCTCACGTTTAAGTGTTAGACATTCAGAGAAAGCTGGAAAATTCCTGTTTCATCCTCTCCGGTGAAAGAGGGAAGGCCCTTTTCTCCATCCTCCTTCAGTGTCTTCTCTTACCCCTTCCTAATAAAAGCTTTTCGGTAGTAAACGAAACACGCGGAAGAACGAAATAATCCATAATTTGGGCCATTCTGGATACTTTCCATAAAGGCCCCTTTTCTTTGAAACCGCTCTGTATATTATTCACGTTTTTTTGGACAGGAGAAGAGGCCAACAACAAATTTGCATTTTTTCGCTGTTTCCGCTGGATGAATACTAAGAAGGCCTTCTAATCTCGGATCCTCGCGAGGCCCGACGCGTATGGGCATAAAACTTCCGGGAGTTGCGGGCCCTAATTCCCTCCCGAGTGTCGCGGAGCGGCGGGACGACGACGCCCGTCCCGCCGTCGGAAAACGTCGACTCTCGAGTCTAGCCCTTTGACGGAATCCGCAAATTTTACCGCGAAAGAGTCTTCCATCCGTCGTCTTACAGTACCTTTTCCCTCGAGGAGTTTTGCGCCCTAATTTACTTTATTCCCTCCACATTTTTTAATCTATTTTCTCTAGCGATTAAGGAACTGAAGTCTTTTCCATTCTAATTTATACTTCTGTCTCCCCCTTTTCGTCCTCCGTATCTTTCGTCCTTGTCCCTCTTCCCTTAACCACGCTCCCTCTCGACGTCCGGGTGTCTTTCCTCGGGGGGGGAGGGGAAGTGCGCGTGACCGACCATAAAGGTATTTGTCCTCCTCGTCGTCGCCCCTTTTCGGTTAACGACCGAGGGGAGGCGCTCCGGCCGGGGGCGAAAAACTATACGAGGATGTCACCCTCGACCATTTTAACGGAGGGCGCCTTCCTACAGTCGACCTCACGGAGAGGGAGTTCTCCTGGATTCGAGTCTTCCCGGCGATCCGGTCGACACGCAACGTACACCCCCAGGGCCCCAGAACACGAGGCGGTATCTCTTCCGGGGCGATTCGCCCGTATCCGCCCCCTGCGCTTTCGAATCCCTTCCGCCTCGCCCCACGTAAGTTCTTCGGAAGACGGAGCGTGCGGGAGACCGCGCGTGGGAAGCGAGCGCCCACGCCGAACTCGATTCCGACGACCGGGGAAGAAGAACTCCGTGGGAAAATGATCCGAACCTTTACCGGAAAGAAGCACGCGCCTTCCCCCTTCTTTCTCTCTTCCGGATCCGTCCCGATCCGGGCGAGAAACGGAAAGGCCCGACGCCGTAACGCGCGCGCGCCCAACATCCACTCCAGGCGCGGCGAGTTCCGACGTCGAAAGGGGGTTGACGAGAGGATCTCCCCTGTCGGAATCCCGCTCTAGCCGAGAAAATGCCAGGCGCGGAAGGGATTTTTTCGGACCTCCGACGCGTCGCCGGTCGGGACGGCCGGCGCGAGTCAGCCGGCGAAGAGAGACGGCCTCCTCCCCCTTCCCTCCCCCGAACGGAGAGACGAAGAGGAGGGGCCGGAGGGCCCGCGGGAGAAGGGGAGACGAAAGAACTCACCACGTCGATGAGCTGCGAGAGTTTGAGGCTCATCTTGACCGTCAGCCTGTCCGAGTTGTTGCCCACCGGCCGGATGAGGGAGTTGTAGCCGTTGATCAGGTCGTCGTACAGACGCTCGGTGTCGGCGCTGCCCCCGGTCCCGCCGATCCAGGCTACCAGAAGCACGAGCGGCACCCGGGAAGCCATGGCCTCTTCTAATCGGCGGACATCGGCGCTCGGTCCCGGCCCGTTCCGGGCGCCACCGCGGCGATCGATGGCGCCGATGGCGGCGCGCGCGCCTCGACACTAGCGCCGGAGAGGCGGGCGGCGGACGAAACGCGAAGCGGCCGGTGGGCCCCCGGGCCCTTCTGGACGGCGGGGGGGTCGACGAGAGAAGGGAAGACGACGGCCGTCGGCGGACGCCGCCCGCCCTCTGTCGTCGCCGTCGGTAATTATGGCGGATTCTGCGCCGTCCCTCCTCGACGGAGAGAAAAGTCGACGACCGCGGTCGGAAAGTCGGTCGACGGACGACGGAGGAGAACGATTTATCCCTTTGGGCGGGATTTTTTTATATCAGAAGGGATCAAAGGGAGGAGGGGAAGAGGTTTCTAGTCCCTCCGTCCCTTTACCTCGCTGCCTAGACGGGAAAATTACGGGGTCCGGAGGTTGAAGAAGCTGCCTGACCGCGCCGTCGTCCGTGTTAAGTCCAGGAGGAAGTGACGTAACGGAGGCTCGAGAGTTCGGGGGGTTAAATTCTTCCTGTTTTCGAATTATTCGTCTCCGGTGTGTTTCGTTAAGTGGACACGAAATCGCGTGTTTAAACCGGACACCACTCTCCATTCCGGGAGGAATGCGAAGTATTGTTTCTGGTAAGGGCCTACTCCCTATTTCCGGGAGTAGGCCTTCACCAGAAACAATTTAAGAGGAAGTGGGGCAGAATTAAGCGTTAATCCTGCCCCACTTCCACCGAACGATCAGTATTTTGAGTCGGGACTAAGGGTGGCCCTTCCGGTGAAGAAGTCCTCTAAGAGAAAAAAATAACCCGAATTTAACGCTGCAGGTATTTATTTGCGTTGTTACTTTAGTTAGGGCCTCCTCCCCTCTCTCTCTAGGCCCTAATATTCAACGGTATTAAACTTAACCCGTAGTATTATAGGGGTATGCCCATAAAGGGCAAGACGGAATCCCCACCACCCCCAGTCGCAACCGTCCATCTAGGAAGCTTCTCAAATTTGGGGGGGTGGCCAGACGTTTTTAACACGAGCTTTTAATATATACCTCGACACTTAAAGGTTTACGAAGCACTAATAAACAATATTTTACTACTTTTGTTCGCCATTAAGAGTGCCTCTATTAGCCATTTAAAATTGTCGATGGCTGCTGCTAAACGTCCACGCTAACAGTAGAGCCGCCGAGATCTTGTATGGGGCCTGGAATAAACTAGGCTAGTTCGCGGGCCCCTTTACTAGTCTTAAACAATGGATATGGACCATTCCTAGGGAAAAATCCCTAGCTTTCCCTCCCCCCTTTTGGACTCGAGAAAACGATAGAAGGTTCGTGGCGCCATCTTACCGACAGTTTTTCTGTATCGAGAAGAATTAAAGGCCGAACGGCGTCATCATCGTTTCCACCAATCGCTTCTTATGACCTTGAAAATCGAAAGACGTAATTGGTTAATTCAAACGTCAGCGCTCGTCGTTGTCGCAACTTTGCCGCTCGTGTGAAACGGACTTTTATTGGTCGCTGATGCAATTATGGAAGGAAAAATACACTAATTTATGGGCCAAAATTGGAATTAATGTTGTTTTTTCTTTTTACATTTTACAATGGCGATTTACAAATATGCCCGTAATTATGTAGTACTTTATCCTTTGGCAAGACTTTAGAAATTCGGGTATTTAATTAATTTTTAATTAGTTTGATATCTAAAGAAAGAAAAATGAGCAGCAACCTTGTCTAAAGATTAATAATTAGAAATTTATTTCGAATTTAATTAAACAACTTAGAATATTCTGGAAAAAAGATTAACTTAAAACCCCTTTCTTGGTCGATAATCCGAAAAATAATCAGGGGATTCGGGCTTAAGTTTGGTTAAGGGTTTGTTTCATTGTATTATAACTACTATGGGAAACAATATCTCACTGGATCCTGAAAGATCCTGAGAGAACACCCGTTTGCATTCAAGAATGCCTTGTACACACGAAGATTTGGAGGTTTAATCCTTCTCATTTGGTAATTCAAACAGTAAAAGTGTATATTATACAGGGTGTCACGCACCATAGACATAATAATAACTGTTTGTGTGATTGCCATCGTGTTGCACATAGCTCCATATGGACGATCCAATCATCTCAAGCACTTTGCAAGACGTCAGGGGTTACAATGCCTATTAGATCTTGGCTTCCTGTTTATAAAAGAGGATCGCCGTGTTATCACACAGGTAAAAATAAGCTGTATGAGGTGGAATCATTCGTCTTTCGGTTCTTCTTCAGTGTTCCAGATGTGACGTTCGGACAAAAACTTCCTACCAATCTACGAAAATAGAAGATGCACAAGTCTGGTTGGATCGGATTGATGGAACAATGCAACGTAAAACACTAGGGAGTATCTCCTGAAATAGCCCCCCCCCCATTTAGGTGTTAGACACGTGAAATAAACCACGTGGAAAGCCGGGTTGATGAAGCGCGAACCCACAACAAACGTTCAGATTGGGTGGACCACAAATGTAAATGGAACCAAATTAACCACGAATAAAACAGAACAAGCATTCGAACTAACGTAAAAAAAATCCTTCTAATTTCTCGATCGCGTATAAAAATTCTCGTTATATCGATCGATACGTTGGCCTTCTCTGCAATACGTAACGATCGCTGGCATAATCACCTTCCCCCCTTTATTTTTTACGCAATAAAATAGCAATTAAACAGTAAAGCAAACACAAGATACGCTCGTTTCGTTTTGTCCACGTTATCACACACACACCTCGGATTAATATTTAATAACGAGTGTCAATTGGGATTACGGGATCGATAAAGGTTGTAAAATGGCACCCAAATTTACTGGCATCGGCTTAATAAAACCGGAAATTATGTTAAACAGGTATTTATTTTTCTTTTCGAACGTGGAACAATCTACCTGACCATGCGAACGTTCTAAGTAAGATCGATGACGTTCACTTACAGTGTGTTACGTCAACGTCATCGATCCCATTCTTTTTTTTTATAATAAAACAATTATTATTCGACTACTTGGCAACATGTTTTCGATATTAACAAAAAAAAAAAGGAAGTTAAATGGTGGTATTATTCAAAAATTTCGATACGAAAAGACCAGATGTATATATTACCTAACTATAAATCATCAGTAGGGCAGAAAAGTATGTTATTCCGCTCGTCTACACTGCAGAACACGTAGGATAAAACAATAAAACAGGTAGATACTTTCATAAATTTATACCGTTAAGTTAAATGAAACGTGAAAAAGGAATATTTTCAATAACTTTATGTCAAGTTGAACAGTTCATTAACTTTGTGTGTTGTTTCTTTATTGTTTTAATTTATTTATTGTTTTGGTGTATTAAAAGCAAGCTGATAAGTAAGTCAACCAATGATATAATCCGTTTCGTACGAAACGAATTAGTTAAGTGTGACGTAAAACGGGGCATTTAAAAAAACTAGTTACGTCACACTTAATTGTGACGTAACTAGTATTTTAAATGCCCCGTTTAAGATATTGGCTCCTCCTTTTTCTAGAAAAAGGAGGAGCCAATATCTTAAACGGGAGGAGCCAAATTTCGTAACTTAATTTGGCTCCTCCTTTTTCTAGAGAAAGGAGAAGCCAAATTAAGTTACGAAATTTAAAAATCAAAATGAGTCCACTAGTAGTCGAGGGTTTCCTCTTAGCCAATGGGGTTGTCACGTGGAGTTTTCCACGTTTGTAACATCCAAATAGGGGCTAATTTCCGGCCCTTGACAGACGATCCGAGTTTCGCGTGGCCTGACCGAATAAACTAACACACAATGATTTTTGATGCCCAATTTCAGGCCCCCTAACCCCTAGTTACGTCACTGTTTAGAAACACCCACTGTATTTTAATAATACTCCGATCTTAAGGACACTTTCTATTGGTTGGTTTGTCGAGTAGGTCAGATAATACGGTCCTAAAACAGCTCTAGTCTTTTCATCATCCCTCTCCCGTTCGAGTATAAATAAAATCACAAGTCTTGTACCGTACATTACGTATTATCTACTGTATTTAATAGTGTTATTTTTTATTACTTTTGAGCGATTATCTGCTACACAATATCTTCTGGTATTTTTATATTAGAAATTGATGGATTCCACTCGCAGATAAATAATCCTTGTGTGTATCGAGTGTACGCAATTTAATTTATTTCGTCCGTTGAAAATTGATGAATATGTGTTTATCGCGTGTATGAATCGATAAGATGAATAATACAAAAGCGAATGGTTTAATATCGGGTCTTACCTCTAAGCATCAATTTGTGTTGTTTTCTAATTATAATTATTAAATTTTATAAATTCTCTTTAATTATTATTTTTTCTCAACTTTATTAAACTGTACTGTACTTACAGTACGTCTGTTTGAAACTATTCGTCCGTATGATTCGTTGTTTTTTCCTTTGTTTTAAGTCTAAACGTTAGCTTTTCATTGTCATTCTTTTTAAATATGAAATTAAATTATATTTTTTGTAAATTTCTAGCTTTAAATCATCTTTCCGCTGTTATTTTTTAATATATTTTGTCACAGACAAAACACACGATCGCAGGCACACAGAACCCACGATCGCAGGCACACAGAACACACGAACACAGGCACACAGAACACACGAAACACAGGCACACAGAACACACGATCACAGGCACACAGAACACACGAAACACAGGCACACAGAACACACGAAATACAGGCACACAGGAACACACGATCACAGGCAAACAGGAACACACGATCACAGGCACACAGAACACACAGAACACACGAAACACACACAGCTTAGAACCTAATTTTAAAGTGGGTATTGTCCGACGAGGTCTTGTTTAACAGAGAGTCGAAGCGAATAAAACTACCGAACACTGGTCACGGGTTCGCGCCTCACCGACGGGCTACCCAGATGGATTTTTTCGGATATTCTTCACCCGTTTAACATCTAAACAGGGTCTACCCAGAAAACAGATCGCCCACGTGTTGCTTTGCCTTATCCTATTAATCCTACAATCCTCACGCGAGGTTTGCGTGTAGGCAGATGCCGTGTTAATTTATGCTCTTTCCAAGTTGTTCGAGACGATTACAGAAACAATGATGCAATCATTTGCAATTAATTAACAGAAAAACTCTAAACAAGATAAAACTTAGGGTCTTATATGTATAAGACCCTAAGTTTTATCTAAACAAGATAAAACTTAGGGTCTTATACATATTATCCATTATTGTTTGGTTAAAAAAAGGGGAAGGCCTCTTTTATGTTATAGGTAAAGGGCCACCACAAGTCTATATCTTGTTTTCAAAAGTAAACAGAAACAGGCCAAATTATGCGGCGTCACGTGTCATTAACGATAATTGTCGAACGTTCATCATTCGGTTCATCACGTCTTTCTAATATATATTTATGAATCGCATTTCCTCCTGGTTCTGTCAGGCAGCTGTCGTCATCGAAATTATCCCCCATTTCCCGGATAATCGAAGGAATAAGGACGGTTCCTATCATTTATCGTCTATCTAATTAATTCGGTTTGGTACGATGAGACGTGGCAAAACAACACTGAGCGATCGGACAATGGGGCAGTCATTCCTAATGATTTTCTGTAGAAAGACTGCCCATTATTTAAGTGTTAAACCCGAAAAATACACGTGGACAACCCGGTTCCTATTCTGTTCGGTAGAATTATAAAAGCACAATTTATCCCTCTATTAATTAAAGGTAATTTTTAATTAATTAATTAAATATCCGAATTTGCCCTAAAGATATGGTTAAGCTTCAATCTTGTGTAAAGTTTAATAATTAGACATTTATTTCCAATTTAATTAAAATCATTTACAATATTTCAGATGAAAGATAGTGACATTTGAATAGATCTTGTTGTATCGTCTAGTTAATAGCAATTATTAGCTATTAATTGTTTAATTATTGACTAATATCTATTTACTAGCAAACTGTAACTAGTGTAAGTTCATAAACTGATAATAATACAGTGTTAAATGTACTGTACTTTTTATTTGCACAACTGCGGCACTTGTAATTAGACTTTCTATTGACATTTCGAAAAATTAGCCCCTCTTTTATAAGAGGTTACCGACTCCTGGTATAAACAATTCAATTGTTATTCGTGTTTTCATGGAAAAGAACGAGTCCCACTGTTTTAGATTTCATTCGTATATGCAATACGACACACGGGAGATCTGTCTAGGGGGTAATGCCTCTCGAAAGATCTTTTATGGGAAGCTGGTCCCTATTTAATTAAGTGTTATTAACGTGAATAAAACCGTGTGGCCAGCCCAGGTACCCACATACCCACCAGTGGTCGAGTGGATAAAATCACTGAACACTGACAGTTGGTCGCGAGTTCACGCCTTTCAAATACAATCGACCCCCCTATAACACTTGATTATTCCGTTTTATATGAATTCCATGTTGTACGAGTCACTTAGATTTTACAAATATGTGTGACGGGCTGTGAATGGCTCACGAATCTGTAAAATCTAAGTGACTCGTACAATATGGAATTCATATAAAACGGAATAATCAACAGTGTTATAGGGGGGTCAACTTGTACGTTAAATAAAATGGAGTATAATTGCATACTTCTGGTGCTGCGGCATATTTATGTACTGTACTTTACAGAACATTAATATTCACTTATTGACAAAAAATTTACCCACCAAAGAGGCGTTAGAATCGAATGATCATGGTAATAAGTCGTCACAATTTCCTATACAATAGCGGTACAATTTAAATCAATCCTTAATACTTTGTAGGGCCTCTCCTTCCTTGATACGTGCGGCGATTCAATCCGGTATGGATGACGACTTTCCTGATAAATCCTGGCTGTGTGCGATCGAGCATTATATTGCTAGAATACGAAAGATTGAAGCCCTTCCATTAAAGGGAACACGAGGATGTATGGTTTCTTGAAAATACCGCTGTGCCGTCGCACACTACTAGGGTGATCGACTGTCATTAGAGATGTTTCCACAGATCAGTGTGCCATCAAAAAACAGTAAAGGCGTGATCGAAGCACTCGAATAGAACGATACTGTAGCAATCCATTCTTCTCTGTCATGGCATCATTGCAATCGAAGACGACGGCGTTGGAATGTTAATGACAGGGCGTGTAGCAGTCGGCCTTTATTCACTGTTTTTCGCTACTAGTTGCGTGCCAATGGTACGGGAATAGAAAGAATTCTGTAGCGAGAATTCCACCTGTTTTTGGATGATGGGTAAACGTTCTTGCAGTTGATGGTTCGTCCCCGTTTAAAGTACATTATCGGAAGAAATTGTTCGTCAATTAAAGTCTGGCCCTACTTTTACTCACAACCAGACAAATTCTCACTTAACGACTGCCGTAATTCGAAAGGTTAAAGTAGGATAAAAATCTAGGACAGAGATTAAGACATTCTACCTTCGAAAACTAGAACTGGGACACTCGATATTTTGTTGTTAGAAGTAACATAGTGTATATAAAACAATCGACTTATAAGCAATTTTTAAAAAATACATGTTTATGTAATTATATTTATTATTGCTCTACAGTAACGCTGTATTACACGCCAACCGGTGTGCAATCAAAACGTGCACTTTTGGCACTTTTTGGCTATTTTATAATAATCAAAAATAAAATACCATAACAGATGGAGCCACACACCCAGTTTTAAATGTTGCCGGGAAAGTTAAGCAACTCCTCGCTGGATTTTTCTTGTTTTTTTTTTTTTTATTTTCGAAGTAAAGCGAACGATTGCTTATATTAAATTTTAAAATAATTTGTAGAAATATTAAATATAATTATTTAGAAACGGTCGGCGAAACACGGTTCCACTCCAAAGTTTAATTAAAAAAAAAAAAAAAAAATTGTTTTCTCAATCGGTAACAAATTCGGCAGGGGGCGTAAGTGTAACTTAGCAACGAAAATGGCGGCCGTGTTTGGGAAGAGTCGTCGGTCGGGTCGGCGGAATGGTGATCGTCAGTCTAAATAATCGAATTCGAAACTGTTTGCCTTAGTAAAGTAAGTAATGAGACTAAGCAAATAACCGCTAAAGAGTATCTTTCGTTGATATAATTCGATCGATTTAAAAGAAAAAAACACATTCGACAAAGAAAATGTCGGTAAACATTCTCCTGGCAAATTCTGTTTTTAGCACGAACGGAGTTTGAAAATTTCCCCACAGATTTACTTTATTTTCTTCCTTTTTTCCCTACTCTTTTTAAAGTTTGATTCGCGGGGAAACGTCATCGGGATTTTAATATGTCGATTACAGGAAGTGACGTTATTCTTATCTTACCTGAACAGGTAAAAATTAACATAGGAGGGAATTGACTGTTCGCATCCCATATTTTCCGAAAATAACGACGAAAAATACCACCGAATTTTTAATTTTTTATAATTAAAATGCTTTAAATCGGATTTCTAGTCGATTAAATTTAAATAAATATTAATAATACGAATAAAAAAAATTCGAATTCTTGTGTTACGTGAGCCGATTCCGTAATTAGATTAATTTTGCGCAATAAATTTTACCAAGGACCTTCGAAATTTCGCGTGAATTTAAATCCGTATTACATCATTTGGCGCCAATTTCTCACCTGGTTGTCATTTTTTTAAACTTTTTAAATTTATTTTTGTCTCGTCCGACCGAATTAAATTGCTACCGTAATTTTGTTTTGTTCGACTTGTTTCGCTCCAAAATTGGTAGAGATGATGCGGTCGGAGCTTTATGTCACGGGATTAAAATAGTCGGAGGAACCGACTGTCTGCATTTTTCTATTTAGATGACATGTGCCATAACCTGTACCGGTGTTTTTCGGCTTCCGGTCCGCAGAAAGATGTTTGACCGCACCGAAGCGGGCACGGTCGATTACGGGTGACATTTAAATGTTAATCCGGACTTCCTGTGCACACTTTGTTACGTACGGTAACTTTAGGTAAGCAGATGTATGCTTAATAAATAAGCGTAATTTGTAGTCGTGCATAAATACTCGTCTAGTCTGTAATTTTACCGGTCTGCAGCGAGAGAAAGGTCGAAAAACATTGCCCTATACCTCGAGTAGAAAACTTACTTGTTAAAGTAAAATGGATAAAACAATACTAAACGTGTGTAATTAATAAGATTAGTTAAATTAGAATAATGTTTGTTTACAAATATCTTTAGTGTGTGACCCTTTGCGAGATATACCCCTCCGAAATCTGACTATTCGACAATGTTGAAGACCCTCGCGCGCGAGTAAAGTTTAAAAGTGAAAATATCCTTAAGTAATTTGTTAGGATTAAAGAGAAAATGAGCAGAAAACTTCTGCGAGGAGATTAATCTAACAAGTATTTCTGTGAATTCCATTTAGGTTATTATCTATACGTTTAATAGATTATGTTTATTAGAAAATTCATTAATGTGATAATTATCAATATATTTTATAAGAAGAGAAATGTCAAATTTAAAATTTATTTGTTTACATACATACGTATCATTTTGTTACAAGTTAATTTCAGATAGGCTGTATATCTTGTCGAGGATCACAGCACATCGTCAGTTTCTGTGACTTTTTTACTCCTGTCAGCATAGTTTACAGCCCTGATAAGGTCCAAAACACCTTATTCAAAGCTGCATTTGTACAGTTTAGATTTGTTTTGAAACTAAATTTCTATTCTCTTCTGTTTAAAGATACAACATTTCTTTGGATTCTTTGTCTCTGGATTATTCTATTCATAATTAACTTGTCCTAGAATGATCTGTCAGTTTAAATGTCTGTAATTCTTCAGATGTTTGATTTTTGGAGTCTCCATGTTCGGTTTTCCTTCCCTTCTGTGATAATCTTGCCGTAAAATGGATTACCTTAATATTGTCTTACCAATTTTCTATGCTTATAAATACATGTCTGTCTTAACCTCTTAGTTTTACTTCATTTACTGATTCTGAATGTAAATTATATACAAATTAATTTAAATAGATGATGAAAAATTAATTTTTTTATCAATGTTTTTGCTTTTTCTTGGCAATTGTTATCAAAGTACTGCTCTGTTTTCGTAAGTTTTTATATTTACTTTTTATTATTACTATTAAAAATCTAAACTTAAACTTTTATTGCATAAATTAAAACAAAAATAACAGAATACATACAGTAATAATAATAATAATAATAATATATATTGGATCAGCAACCTTTTATGATTGCTGTTGCAGAATAAAATAATAGAATGGCATTTTTATTTTGCAAAATGACCCATGCCTGATTTTCTAAGATGATGAAAAAGAATTATATACAGATGTAGAGTAAATGTATTTTAACTTAAAACACTTATAAAACTATAGAAACAATTTTAAAGATTAGCGTAAAGAAGCTTCACAAACCATGTATTTTCACACTACAGAAACAACAACTATTACTTGGTGGAGTTGACCTTTACCTCGAGGCTTGTCTCCGCCTTGATATGCTAAAACTGTATAAAGCAACAGTTCTAGCATATCGAGGCAGAGAAGAGCCTCAAGATAAAGGTCAAGATAAATATTTCACCAAGAAAAATTCTTGTTTTTTGTAGTGTGAAAATAGATGATTTTGTTAAGCTTTGTGGTACCTTCTTTATGCAAATTTTAAATTTATTCGGTGTTCGGGTTACTTTTTAATCACTGTAAAAGTAAATTGATTTAATATACAAAATTATTAATGTAATGAAACTTTCCTGCAGAAAAATACATAACTGTACACATTATATATTTTAATCATTTAATCTCGCACAAATTTAAAAAAAAGTATTCATATTTCTATTGCATCTGATACTGTTCTTGTCTCAATATTTATTATGAATGGTAAAACCAAAAGTCTTTGCAATTCAGCATTTAATTTTTGAATTTAATTAGCCGTCTTCCTATTTGAACTGTCCGTAACAACGGAATTCCAAAATGACTGTTCAAAGGTAATAACGAATTGTTTTGAAGTATCATTCAGGAATCTTGTCATTATGGACAGTTCAAATCTAAATACAGCTAGTTAAATCGGCCAATAACATGCGTTTTTCAATAATTAAATGCTGAACTGTAAAGGTTTTTTTTTTTAAATATACATTATGGATAAAAATCAAGTGAAAAAGAGAAATGAATTGATCTCTGAAGATACCTTATAAATTACTCTTCTGTTGTATTTTATGAACCCACTTTATGATATTTTATAAGGCACAGAGCTTCATCTATAGTGTTGCGTTGGGCAAATTTTCGGCAAATCTAAAAACAATAAGTGGGAATTTAAAAACAGTTACGTAGTAGTGGAATATACAATGAAAATAATAATAATAATAATAGATGGAAATCTGTTTTGAACTGTCAGCGAATTATTTACAAACGTAGTTTTGAAACGTTATTTTTTATTGCTCAACTGTGCTGTCGGCTTGGAATTTGCTGCATGCCGATGCCATTAAAAATTAGTTGTTATCACAACTTGCATAAATCGCATAGATTGCTAACCCCTGTAATATATTTATATAAAATGTTTCATTATAAGTTAGAAATTATTTTAATTAACAGTTGTGGATATTTTTTCTAATCGGAATTTGTCGGTGACGAAACAATAATTGTTTTCTCAAGAAACCGAAGATGTAAAATTATGAAATAGTTAAATTCCAGTTATTATTAGTAGATTTATAATCTATACATTACATTTGAAATATTAATAACTGTAGAGATTACTTATATTTTATCAAATTATAAGTCTTGACATGAAAGACCATAACTCAGAAGCAAATTCAATAACTTTGAGAAAGTAACAGTTGAAAATGTCCAAGTTTTTAGAGCCATAATTTGGGGTATGCCTGTATATTGCGAAAAATACAAGAAAATGTTTTATAGTAATTGGATAATGTCTTGACGTATGTAAACATGTAGTTTATGTCATTCTTGCTGGATAGTGTTAGTGCTTTTGACATTAACCTATATGTTGTGAAACTATATGACTACATTCCAGTAACATTATATTACACATAAACATTTCTCAGTTTCAATTTATTTAAGTAAAATCCAAAGACATAATGTTACTACCTCCAACAATAACAGATGTAAACATCCTACGAAATCTGACTTGTTACTATAAAGCTATGCCAACTGCCATATAAATTATTTAATTAAATTATAATTATTAAATTTAATACAAGATTGCGCCTAACGCGTCCCTTTAGGGATAAATTAATCGGTAATTCAAATTATTATCGCCAAAATGTAGCCCGATATTGTACGGCAGTTGGTAGAAGTGTACTTTCAGTTTTTTTATTCTATTTCCTCAATTAAACCCCGGAGAAAAGAGGTTCTGTTAAAAGTAAAACACATGTCGAAAAGCATGGGAAACATATTGAAGTAGTGCACTATATAAGGTAACGTAGTTTAGAATGATTCGGGTACTGAATTTAATTAAAATTCTGTCCTTTTAAATTGTCTGTATTCAGACAGTACTTTTTGATTCAAGGTTTATGGGAATAGTTTTGGAAATAAAATTATAAATATTTTTGAATATTGAACTTGGGAAAGTTGCAATCATAAGTTGTGATTCCAACTCTGACAATGATTACAAAAGAGACATGAATGTCAACATAACAACCAAATCAGAAGGTACTGAATCAGGTTAACTACAAAAAACAATAATTATTTAAAATGCTGTATCCTAATCCATAAATGATTTTGATAGTTTTCAAAATGTATAAGCAATAAAAGTATTTCTTTCATTTATATCTACTCATTTCTTGTCACGAGGTAATAAACTCCATCCGAATCTTCAAATAAGCACCAGGAGAGGTATGTTTTAAAAATAAACCATTTTGGTGTTTAAAGATGTTTAATGTTCTTAATAGAATATACAAATCTAGTACTGGGTAACCCCAGTTATTAGAGAGGTTGAGGCACAAGTTCAAACGTTAAACGTGTACAGGTAGCAGAAGTACACGTTACACATTTCAAGTCCAAGTAAAAATCGTTGAGGCACACGTTCATAACATCACGTGACTCAGTGAACATCGCGCATTGACTCATGGGA